GCCGTGATCGCTACTGTCTTCGCTATCTTGCGCGGTCCTTCCAACATCCTTCCTCTCGCCTCTTGTCGTGCATTGACTTTTCCTCCTCCTGTGGTTCCTGTTCCTCTTCATTGTCTCCCACTTTCTGTCCAGTTATCTCGCTTACAGGATTCTCTTTCTGTTCATATTTCTAATGTTTCTCCTCGTATTGTTCCTTCATTACCTCCGTGGAGAGTCCCCCTTCCCAAGTTTTGTACGTCCTTGACTTGTATTACTGAAGCCTTTACCCCTCCTACAATTCTGAAAAGCCTCTTCCTTGAGCACTTTTCTTCGCACTCCCACTCTATTTCCATCTTCCCTGATGGGTCTAAGTCTGCGGATGGTGTGGGCTACTCTGTTGTTTTTCCTGACCGTACTTACATGTGTCGCCTCCCTTCGGAGGCTAGCGTCTTTACGGCAGAACTTTATGCTATTCTCTATGCTCTTTGTCTCTTGTTTTCTCATTCTCATTCCTCCTTTGTGGTTGTAGTTGATTCTCGTAGTGCCCTCATGGCTCTAGGGTCCTTTAATCCTGTCCATCCGGTGGTCATTGAGATTCAACATTGGCTGTTTCTTATTTCTAGTAAATTTAAATCAGTAGAGTTTTGCTGGGTTCCCAGAAATATTGGTGTTTCAATGAGCGTGCGGATGCTGCCGCTAAGGAAGCTATCCGTTCTTGTCCTATCTCCCGTAAAGGTATTCCTTATTCCGACTTTTATCCTGTTATTCATTCTTCCCCGTTGGCAGGGTTGTTGGTCCTCTGTGGTTGGTAACAAGCTGCGTACTCTCAAACTTAGTGTGTCCCCGTTGCCTTCCTCCTACCACCGTAACCGGCGGTGGGACACTGCTTTGGCATGGCTGTGGGTTGGTCATACCCGCTTAACCCACGGTCACTTAATGGAGCGCCGCCCTGCTCCTTATTGTCTGAATTGCATTGTCCCTCTTACAGTTGTGCATATCCTTGTTGAATGTCCTGACTTCCAGGACGAGCGTGTGTCTTGCTTTCCGACCGTCCCTTGCAGTCACTTGTCCCTCGATAGAATTCTAGGTGAATCGGATACTTTTGATATCGTTCGCCTTAAGTGTTTTTGTTCTCTTATTGGCATTCTTGGTGATATTTAGCGCCCTCTGATTATTTCGCACTTTGATGGTGCTACATGGCCTTCCCGGTTTGGTGCCTTCTTTTGGTAATTACCTTCATTGTTGTTTCATTTTAATGTTGTAGTTGTGATATGGATTGTTCTGGCTCACGTGCAAGGTCTTGGATTTTTTTGTTTTATATTAAGAAATTGCCAGTCTTGTTACTATTTGTAGAGTTAGAGATCTGCATTAAGGCCTCAATATTATATTCTTTATTTTTTTTATAACATGTTATCAGCAATTTTTGCGGTTGGTAATATTTAGATTAATGTCAGTGATGTATATGACAAGGGTTAAGACCCCTTGTGGTATGACAGCATTTTTCCCAGTAATTTCTTTAACAAATGAAAGGGTCCTCATAACCATTCTTTTGTCATTTCTACCATGTACCTGTTTGTTGCTTCTTGGTCTTTCATTTGGTACATTGGCTATTAAAACAATGGCCTTTGGTAATGTTGCAATTACCATTTCTAAAAAAAAAATGGGCAGGGTTTGTTAGGTCAAACTAATTGACGGTAATCTGTTTTGCCCTTTCAAACAATGATGGTTTTAATCTAGGTAAAATATTTCAGAATATCTGAAGTTTGGCAGACAAATCATTTAAGAGCTTTGATTAAATTTAAGTTACCAAAGACTTTGTGAAAACCATGTTGTATAGATGCTTCAGTGTCACTTTTCCAATGTTTTGTAAATTTAACAATGATCTTAATTTAATCATAATTTGTACAAAGCTTAGGTGTTGCATAGCTTTAAATTTACTTTCAAATACAAAAACTAAAATATTGACTAAAGTTTCTTCCACTTTAATATTTCAGACTAATTTGCAATATTTGTTAGTTTATGTAAATTGAATAGGTAGTCCACTTTTACATCTTTTCAATGCATTCTGCATGCACCTATGTAACAAGTTACAAATAGGTGTAAATTTTACCAAGTATTTATTTTCAAAGTAAAAAAATTTCAGATGTTTAAACATTGCATCAATAGTAGTAAACAATTTCCAGCATAATTTCAGGATAAGGTATAAAGTAGTTTCATTAAAATTGTTTTATTTAATAAGTTTTACATATAGTATTTATAATACATCTAATATTTATTACTGTTTCAGGTTGTGGGACAGATGCTCCTAGATGAACAGAAGATCCAAAAGGCCAAGACAACTCCAGAGACAATCACCTGTAAAAGAAAAATAAACATTAAACAGAGACACTACTTTTATTATCACCAATGCCTAATAATAAGCCCAAAAAAACCTAACAGCCTATCTTTTAAGATAGGCTCAGCAAGGCCTACCCCTTCCTCCGATCGTAGTGCAGAGCTTGTTCCCTGAATGGGTGCATTACATCCACCACTTTAGTGCCATCAACACATGTGTTACTGTACAATGCATGCCAGGCACTAAAGTTTTAGATGCATCCACCCATTCAGCAAACAAGCCCTGTGAGAATTAACAATGTAACCATTGTTAAGGGTCCCTAAACCTACGCAAATCTAGTCCATCTATTAGATGGGTAGTAGAGCAAAGCTCTGAAAAAGCCAAGCCAGGGAAATCTGCAGGACTGCCTGGTCCCCTTTTATGAAATGGGGTAGGATCAGTACAAACTGCATCATCCCCTGTGGGTTGTAACAGTAGGACATGGTTACACACCTATAAATGGACTAGATAAGAGAATTAAGATTAGGTCATTGATATAGCTAAAACATCAAATTCAAACTCACCCACTTTTGTAGAGTAAAGGAGACTCCATGCATCATAATCACTTTCACCTGAAAAATATTTCAACAAATTAATTTCAGATTTAAAGCCAATCTTGCTTTACTTTTCAAATTAGCATTCAGTACTTTACAAATTCAGATGGAAAAAATTTCTTTAAGGAATTTACCTTTCCTACATATTCTAGTAGCAGTAGTAAAGATCTAATTTAGCAATATAAATATATATGGCATCAATTTGCCAAGTTTCAGTAAATGTCATTTGAGAAACTATCCACAACTGCACTTCAATGGCAATTTACATTTATCTTTAGCCAATGCTATATTGTTTAAGTTATTACTATTTTTTTACTTTTATGCAAATCATAAGCAAGTGCCACTGGCTTATGGCAAAAGATTCTGTAGCAATAGAACTATAAGCCACACTTTCTCTCCCCCCCCCTTCCTCCCAACTGTTGAGTGTCAAAAGGGAGGGGGGGGGGGTGTCCATTTACTGTACCACTTACATTTTAGTGTGGCCTTCATCCACTATTCTGATGTTAGCTGGAACATTTGTGCCAGCTGCTGGTTTGAAAGGGAGGCATACCATGTACCAATTCAGGAAGCTTTCCACATTCCTCACTGCATGTCAGCTCAGGACCTCACTACCATGTTGGGAGCCAGTTGAAGACTAACCAATCAACATCCCAGGCTGGAGAGCAGTGCCAGCTCTGGGAGAATTTACCACCTGCAAAAAATTTTATACTCTTAACAATCTACACCATCTCTCATCTTTACCTAGCCCCCAAACCTTACATTTGTCAGCATTAAACTGCATCTGGTAGTCTTAACCATTTCAAAACTATATAGGGCATCGGTATTTTTTATTTGCCAATTCTGCAACTATTGCAGTCTAAACCATAATCTTGTGAATAACCGAGGTCCAAGGAGAGCTTTTAGGCACTACTTACAACACTTCTCCCAACTTAACCCCATTTATACTAATTTCCTTTGGTATAGCCATGACCTAATCAACTTCAGTCAGCATTCCCAATGATCCGAGCCACTATCAAAATCTCTGCTGAAGTCAAGGTACACAAAATCACAAACCTTATCACTATTTCCTCAACTATGCAACCTAATCCATGAACATTTAGTAATAAAACTATGCGAATCGTGTATCTAGTCATGTTTCTCAAAAAGAGTAGAGAAATGGCACTTGCAATGTTAGATTCTAGTAACTTTCCTCACAATAGACTAAGCTAATTGGTCACTAACTTGAGCGTTAAAGTTGACTCGAACTTTTCCTTTAAAACTTGCTATATTAGGAACTTTCCACGACCGGCCTTTACCCGACATGATTAAATAGGGTAAAAACGGTATATTAAATGCAGTAAAACTACGGTAAATTCAATATGATAAACTTGCATTCTTTAAGCATGGGCTGCATAGTAAGTGAACTAAACGATTCTTCGCGGCAGGGGATCGTATTCCAGGGACCATAGGATTAAGGACTTGCCCGAAACGCTACGCGTACTAGTTAGTGGCTGTACAAGAATGTAACAACTCTTGTATATATCTTTAAAAACAAAAAAAAAACTAAATGTTAAGCACCCTGGCAAACCACTTCGTTCTATTCAATTTCTTTATTTAATCACTGTCCGGCTAGAATTTTTAGATTAGATTAAAGGAACACCCTCCCTAGTAACGGCTGAACTAGTTAACCAAATACAAATATTTAGGTAAAATACTTTCATAAAACCCGTCTACTTCCCCCACCAGTAGACTTGTTCAGCTAAAGGCATAATGTAATGTTCCACTTTAGTAAATAAAGACTTAAAAAAACACTACCCCATCTGTGTAGTTACCGGTTACCTGACTTTCTACGCTTAAAATAACCCATCTATTCCCCATAATTGTTCGATATAACTTACCTCTCACCCGCTGGTCGAGTACACAGCAGTATATATCCTCCTCCATCACTCACCGCATGGATACTATTTCATTCTGGCCGCAAATTGCCTCAAATCACCTACGTTGTCCATAAACATATATAGAAGAGCAACTGACCGTAACACCCGTATAGCGATTATCACATAACGTGGGAACATTAGTAGTACTGCTGTCAAAACATAGATGGCGCCAGGACAAACGGTAATTCCTATGGACTCGGATACAAGACACTCTGTACATTGACAACATCGCACACTAATATTTTTACCACTTCGGACACCACCCCGTTTCGTACACGTGTGACGTGTGGGCTCTTATCTGCCCAGTACTAGTGTTATCTTATCACTGCTGCTACCTCAATGTTCAGGAACGGTGAGTGGATCAACTGTGGGCATTGTGTAATTAAGGGGGGGAAGTAATAATTTGAATGTTAGGTCAGGTGAACTGATCTGAGACATGTACAAAGTAATTTATTCAAGTGGGAATCTATGTAGGGCAATAAGTCTGAGTGTAAACTTTTGTTGACTGTGATAAGGTAGTTTACACGCAAAAATACTGTATCAAAGGTCCAGTGTAACTCAAAAGGCCAACAGCTTCCAGCCACAATGTAACTAATATTGCTATTGAGGTGGCTCTCCACATCTAACTGCTGTTCATGTATGGTATTTTTTTTTTCAGGATTTGTCTTAAAACATCAGGCTGCTTTGAAACAGATAGGAAGAAAACACTACAAATATCTTTCAAGTAAGGTGTATGATATGTATTTGGCCTATATAGTATTTTTTGTATTTTGTTTATCCTCTCCCATATACTGTACAGTACAGTATATAATTCCCAGCATCGGGGGGACAGGAAGCCTGTACTTAAGATTATCGAGGTTTCCTAGGTCACTACTGAACTTCCCCAGGAATTCATGGGAGATAATCTACCAGGTACTTCTCCCCCAATAAAGATGCTATTGGTAGGTTCCTGACCTTTTCCCCATCATTATTTCCATGACCTTGCCTTTTCTTTTTTCATCACCATTAATCCTGTCTATCTCGTGTCATATTCTAAAGCTTGCTCAGGTAATATGTTATTTCTAATAAATTTGCTCTTAACTTGGTATTTCTCTACATCATTGTCAGCCCTTTGTGCTCTTCAACATTTCTCCTATTTGTATATACAGAATTCACTTATTTTTTCTTGCAACTCTCTTGCAGCTTCCTCACCCCATGAAGCACCGGCTCTTATTTTTGTACCAGTTTGTACAACATTGTGCACCACTCTAGTATTCCTAACCAAGTGGTTTTTGTATACTGTACTTAAGATTCATCTGCTCACAGTTTTTTGCTTCACGGTCACCATCAATTTTCATTTTGTACTTGTCAGGGATGTGACTATGGTTAAAGTAAGCTAATGTAACCTCTGTTTGAAATTTATGTGAATGCAATTCTAACTCTTACCAGTATTACTAGCTCTCCACATGTGTATGACTTTAAATTTGACAGTTGTATGACTAGAAAAATTTTTGTCTCTAAAATTATTTCACTTTAAATAATAGTTTGAATTTTATATTAAACTTTTATGTACCTTAAGCTAGTTATATGCCTATGGATTCTGCCCTTAAGTACTGTTGTACTACCGTTAGAAAAAAAAAAATTCAATGTTCCGGGCAGAATTTTCATATTTATTTTAGTGTAGATATTCAAATTATGGCATTATCATAGGTATATATAATTTGTCTCAAAACATTGCTAGATTTTATAAAACATCATTGTGAAGCAGTAGCAAATCTTATTACCTGTTTGCTACCATTTTAATAGAGTATGCCTTCAAGAGCTTTACTAGTATTTTGAAGTTTGTTGTCATGATTTAGGAATGTGTATGATTTACATTATGGAATTCTAGTACAGTACATTAAACTTGGTTTAGTGGGGAAGTGAATGTTTGTTATTTACCAATTTACCACATGATATACAAGAATATGCTCATCATTACCATTGTAATCATTGCTATCAACTTATATCTTGTATCTACTTATACAACTCATTATCTTCAGATGTTTTCGGGGCTTAGCAGCCCCGCTGCCCAGTCCTCGACCAGGCCTCCTTTTTGTTACATATCCACATGAAGCAGCCCGTAGTAGCTGTCTAACTCCCAGGTACCTATTTACGGCTAGGTTAACAGGGGCATCGGGGCAAAAGAAACTCTGCTGCCATTTATTTTTATTTTATTTATTTTATTTTATTTATGCATATACAAGAATGTACATAAGGAATGTGAGGATACAAATATGGTAATTACAGTCTTGTAAAGCCACTAGCACTCGCAGCGTTTCGGGCAGGTCCTTAATCTAAGAAAATTTTAAGGAGGTAAATACTTGTAAAATTTATAGACAAAAAAATGATAACAGATTACATGAAATGAAAAAAAAAGATGAGAGAAAATTGTAGGTACAGTATATTAAAGCACATAGGTAGCTAAGATTGATTGCAATGACAGCTTGAATGGTAGTTGACAAAAATTGGTAGTTACAATACAGCATATGGCTAGCACATAAAAGAAGACAGCAATGAACACAATGATAAGGTTGTTTGATATTACATAAAAATTAGGAGATTGGGTAACACTAGGTACAGAGCAAATTTAAAGCTCAGTGTAGGAAACTAAGAAGATGAAGTTAGGTACTTTTTGGTTTTGCTTTTAAATAAGGCAAAAGTTTTACAGTTTTTCAATTCACTAGGGAGTGAGTTCCATAGACTAGAACGTTCCATAGAATAGGAAGTTTCCACTTCCACCAGGGATTGAACCCGAAACCTAAGGACTACAAATCCTGAGTGCTGTCCGCCTAGCTGTCAGGCCATAGTTCATATGTTGACCGCAGATTTTCTTATAACGTACCTGTTGATTATCTTCAAATTTGCTATAAATACCTACTTAAAAATTATCTTTTAGATTAAGGACATTCCCAACATGCTATGCGTGTTAGTGACTTTGCAAGAATGTAAAAACATCAATGCTATGTGCTCTCATAAACCCAATGTACCTCCTTGTATACAGTATATAAATAAAAAACTGCATCGTTTAATATTAAATTACTTTTCCAAAAATTGTAATCCTTTTCATTTTTGTCATGCAAAGAGCATTTTTTTTTTTGTATAGTGCAGTTTTACTTTTTCTCATTGCAGCTCAGGAAAGGATACCCTTACAGCATTTCAATTCTCGTATCAAACAACAGCAATCAAAAATGTCGAAGCGAGTTCCACAGCAATATGACTATTTTCTTGTGCTTGATTTTGAGGCCACGTGTGAAAAATCTAAACAAATTAATCCACAGGTTAGTCAGTACCATTATCAATTAAATCACAAACAGAGAATGATTACAAATGTATTGGCATGAGTTACTGGAGCTGTGAACTTCATTAACATATTTTGCATGGCAAAAAAATATCTACTGTATATAGATTCTTGTGGAATAAAATGGATTTAAAGTAGATGTTAAATGATTGTATGTCCTACTTGGGAGCAGTGTTTTTCAAAGATTTTCCATTATCCAATTTAATAATTAAAACCACTTTTTTTCTCACTATGATCCAAAGAAAACGAATGTGATGTTTTGTAATTGGATAAAAGACAGCAAATATAGCATGAGCTAATTAAACTTAATTTCTATTGTTAAGTTCAACATTCCTTTAACAAATATAATTGCAAGGTGCAGGGGGTATAGATAACAGCTAATTCAGCCCCCACACATCGACAACGTGTGGGGTTGATTGGCTGTAATTCCACTAAAATTCACGATAAGCATCCAGTAGATAGATGTGTTGCTACTTTCAGGCAAGTCTTTTTTTTGGAGAGGGGCTTTTGTGGTGAAGGGGGGATTAATTGTTTTGTATCTAACTGTTACTTTATAGAGGAGGGGGCAACCAAATGTTATAGCTTGGAAGAATGGAGTTTAGTAAATATGAAAAGCACCTTTCTAAACTAGTGCCATTAAGTTTTAGCTGGTCCCCTCCTTTATTGTCCCTTTTGTAGCATGCTGTGTGTGTTTGGAAAGACTGAGTGGAACCAAAATGTCTGCTAACTGTTGTGATGGCAGCCACATGTACTACGTTTTGTGATAAAAAGTTTTATGGAATGCATCTTTGTCGGTCATTTCAGGCTGGATTGAGTTTCTCAGTGGGATGACCCCACCTAGAGCACTCTTAATGACCTCTCAGGGGCTGCTGGGAAAGATTCCTACAGTGCCAGTGCTGGGAAAGTCATCTTCCATGACCCATGTCCAGAGTACACAGCATATCATCAAGCAGTTCTCATTAATTTATTAGATTGTTTTTTTATGGTTTGATGCAGATGGAGAAGAATGAATGGAATGAAGTTGAGAGGAATATGAATAAAAAGTTTAGAGAGAAAAATAAGATCACTTAAGATTATGATGACACATTGAAGAGAACACTGGACTTGCCAATAGGTTTTCGAGTTAAATAAGGTGGAATTGTTAGGGCGTCAAAACACGTGGACTTGAAAATTGTTGTGTGGAGGAGTGTACTGTATATACTAGGTAGTTCTGCAATAATTAAATTTATTATGAAAAAATATAATGGAAAATAATTGAAGTGTATACTGTAATGGAAAATTGTATATTTAGCATTGGCAGGGATGAAGTTCAAGATATGCCTAAATACAAATACAGTATATTTAAATGTTATGTAAATGTAAAAAGTTAGTTTAGTAATATATTTATTATGTGTGAGGATACTGTGGATGGTAGTATAGTACAGTGCCTAGGTGGTGCAAAAGATAAGAGAATAAAGATATCAAAGGAAAGATATCCATTCTTTTCTCTTCCAGGTTAAAGAATCCACACCTCATGAAAGTGGGAAATGGAATAGTGATAATGATAGGAGTGAGGTAGAGTGGGAGATGGGTGAAGTCTGCTGTTTAGCTCCTAATGTTTTGGAATTTCATGGTTTAATACCAAGAAGTTGCATTTAATGGAGAGCAGGATTGTGTACAAGTAAAACTGTCTGGAGGTGGATGGAAGCTGCAAGGATATCTCCATGATCATCTTAACACTTAGGAAAGAACTCACTAATTCATGAACTTAAATATTTATCTTATTGTTTACACCTCAGGTGTAAACAATAAGAAGGAGCATTAATTATAAAAAAGGAGCATTAATTATACACGTGTTCTGTATTAAATTGACCTTAAATTTTGTTGTTGTCTTTTTTATTTTTTTCCTCAGGAAATCATTGAATTCCCAACCCTAAAAGTGAACGCAAAGACTTATGAAATTGAATCACAATTCCATCGGTTTGTGAAACCAATACACAATCCCATATTGAGCCCTTTCTGCACGGGCCTGACTTCAATAACACAGGTAGCGTAATCGATAAAATGGTATGCATTATTAGGATACTGTAGTTGTTAGAAATTAAATTATCTAAGGATAGTTATTATTCTAACTAATGGCTTGCCTAAGAGATGACTATAATTGACTACAGTTATTTTACTGTAAATGATAAGTTTGTAAGGGTACAAAATCTAATATGATGCTGCAGATCTCATTAGTAAAAGTCTTTTTTTTTTTTCTTAGTTTTTTTATGTATAATTTAGTTATTCTTCATTTACATTCCCAGAAAGTTGCAAATTTGTTAGAAATAATTATATATGTTATAAATCTTTAATTCCATATTTTGGTTGTGTATATATCACATGGTAATGCAACTGAGACTTTAAACACATTCATATTACCTATATACAATGTTTAACATTTTACCAAGCACAGTACAAGAGTCTCAGTTGAGTGGATCAGTCTGTTGCACAGCCTCATTTTCGAGCACAAGATTAATAGGAGAAACCTACTACAATGCCATTGTGCTTGAATGATGCAGTAAAGCAGAACATTGTTTACGGCATCTTGATAAAGGATGTAGATTTCATCTGAAATTTTGGTTTTAATACACATACATTATGGGGTCTTTCCATCACCTTCATAAAACTGATTGTTCTATGGCCTCTTGTTGATGCAAGACTTTTATAGTTCAGTTTTTGTGCCACAATTCTATTTTAATTTTATTTTCTTAGCACAAATAATATAAAATTATGTACAATTGTATTATATTAAAATCACATTATAATTTTTTAACTCAAAACTTGTGAAAAGCCCACCAACCTTAATGGGTTTCCCCATAAAATGCAATATAATCGGGAAAAACATTGACAAACTAAAATATTCAAAAGACTTGGGTGTAGATGGAATTCAATCCAAAGTCATTAAGGAGCTGGCAGACAAACTGTGTACCACTGACGCTCCTCTTCTAAAAATATCTGGACCAGGGGATAGTTCCCCTAGAGTGGAAACATGCAAATGTTACCCTATCTTGAAAAAAAGGCAAAAAGGGATCTGCAGAAAACTACCATCCAGTCAGTTTGAGCTTGCATATCTGCTTGGGTGCCATGTGTGTATTATACGTACACCTTTGTAGTATCAGTACTCACCTAGTCACCTAGTTGTGTTTGCGGGGGTTGAGCTCTGGCTCTTTGGTCCCGCCTCTCAACTGTCAATCAACTGGTGTACAGATTCCTGAGCCTATTGGGCTCTATCATATCTACATTTGAAACTGTGTATGGAGTCTGCCTCCTCCACAACAAACTTAATGCATTCCATTTGTTAACTACCAAGACACTGAAAAAATTCTTTCTAACATCTCTGTGGCTCATCTAGGTATTAAGTTTCCAGGTGGAAACTTAGTACCGAGTAACTTAGTACTGGCTGTCACTTTAATGAAAGAAGGGTCTATTATTTTAATTGCAGTTTCCTTTCCCACCTTACTTTTAAAGACCACAATGCAGTAACTATCTCAACTGCAAGAAAAATAACAGATTGGATAACAAGAACCTTTTAAAGAAGAGATGCCACACCAATGATGATACTTTTAAGACACTGATGCTTTCTAGAGTGGAATATTGTTGCACACACTAACAGCCCCATTTATAGTTGCAGAAATTGCTGACCTGGAGAGCATGTAAAGATCTTTTAGTGCTAGAATCCATTCAATAGAACATCTAAATTATTGGGATCACTTAAAAATTTGAAATCTGTATTCCCTAGAACATAGGCAGGAGAGAGACATAATAACTTACACTGAAAATACTAGAAGGACTGATTCCAAATCTATACATAAATGACACCACATGAGACTAGAAGGCATGGCAGGACATGCAAAACAACCCCCATTGAAAGGCAGAGGTGTAATAAGTACACAGAGAACTTTATCAACATAAAAGACCCACGTTTTTTCTTCACTCTCCCTTCTATACATACGGGGCATAACTAGCTGACCTCTCAAAGTGTTCAAAAAAGAGAGCTTGATAAACAACTTCAAAAGGTACCTGACCAACCAGGCTGTGACTTACACCAGGCTGCAAGCAACCACATTTAACAGTCTGGTCAGAGACCAGGCTATGGGGATGCTGGTCCTCAGAATCAACAGGTTTGCTCTATACACTGGTGCATAATTATCATAACTTGTAATTGCCATTTTTATCTTGTTTACCAGGATGTTGTGGAAAAAGCAGACCCATTTCCCACTGTTTTTAAAGAATTTGACAAGTGGATAAAAGAGGAGGTGGGACTTGACAACACTTTTCTTTTTGTCACATGTGGAGACTGGGATCTCAAGACTATGCTCCCAAATCAGTGTGACCTAGAAAATCTCCAACTGCCTTCTTACTGTAAGGAATGGTTGAATATTAAAAAGGTAAATACAATTAACATTTTAATTCACAATTCGATAAAATTGTTCCTTTCAAAGTTTGTTCGTTACCAGATTCTCAAAGCTCCAGAAAAACTAGGAATTCCCCTGTGACATTATCTCGTAGTTTCTGATTTCTTCCAGTTTTCTACGTTGTACACCAATAATTTATTCAATTATTTATAAGTTAGAGGAAAGGTTTGTAGTGTAAATATAAATGAGGTTTGCCTGTACACGTACTGTAATATAATAATAATGGAATTATGTATTTGTAAAACTTTCAGAAATGAATACATGTATGCAGTTTTAACATTACATTTTCTTTACAGTCCTATGCTATTGTGAAAGGAGATTTTATCAAAGGCATGATGCCAATGATTAGGGGTCTCTCACTCATTCACACTGGCCACCTGCATCGAGGACTTGGTAAGATAACCAATATATATATTCCTTCATTCTGTATGTATATGTGTATGTGTAATCACCTAGTTGTACTCACCTACTTGTACTTGTGGGAGATGAGCTCTGGCTCTTTGGTCCCGCCTCTCAACTGTCAATCAATTGGTGTACAGATTCCTAAGCCTGCTGGGCTCTTATCATATCTACATTTGAAACTTTGTATGGAGTCTGCCTCCACCACATCACTAGCTAATGCATTCCATCTTTACTACTCCGACGCTGAAAAAGTTCTTTCTAACGTCCCTGTGGCTCATTTGGGTACTCTGCTTCCACCTGTGTGTCCCTTTGTTCGCGTACCCCCCATGTTAAAGAGTTTATCCTTATCTACCTTGTCAATTCCTCCGAGAATTTTGTAGGTAGTGATCACGACCTTGCTCTTCTGTCTTCCAGAGTCATGGGGTGCATTTCTCACAACCCTCCCTCATAACAAATGCCTCTTAGTTCTGCGACTAGCCTAGTGGCATACCTTTGAACTTTTTCCAGCTTCTTATTCTTGACAAGGTATGGGCTCCATGCTGGGGTTGCATACTCCAGGATTGGTCTTACATATGTGGTATACAAGGTTCTGAATGATTCCTTACACAGGTTCCTGAAGGTAGTTCTGATGTTAGCCAGCCTCGCATATGCCGCAGATGTTATTCTTTTTATGTGGGCTTCAGGAGACAGGTTTGGTGTGATATCAACTCCTGGATCTTTCTCTCTGTCCGTTTCATGAAGGAGGACTTCTCCCATTCGGTATCTTGTGTCTGGCCTCCCATTTCCACCACCTAGTTTCATTACTTTACACTTACTCTGGTTGAACTTTAGTAGCCATTTGTTGGACCATGGCTACTAAAGGGGCCTGGTGGATAGCGCGCAGGACTCGTAATTCTGTGGTGCGGGTTCGATTCCCGCACCAGGCAGAAACAAATGGGCAAAGTTTCTTTCACCCTGAATGCCCCTGTTACCTAGCAGCAAATAGGTACCTGGGAGTTAGTCAGCTGTTACGGGCTGCTTCCTGGGGTGTCTGTGTGTGTGGTGTTGAAAAAAAAAAATAATAGTAATAAACAGTTGATTGATAGTCGAGAGGCGAGCCGAAAGAGCAAAGCTCAACCCCCGCAAAAACACAACTAGGTGAATACACACACACACAGGTGTGTGTAATTACCTAAGTGTAGTTACAGGATGAGAGCTATGCTCTCATCCTGTATGTGTGTGTGTGTGTGTGTGCGCTAATTATTTTTGTAGCTCGTATGAGAATTGACAATGAAGATTATAGCTAACTAGATGCTAAAAGTGGTTGTTGGTAAACAAGTTGAACCTCACTATACTTGTTTATGCAAGTTGAAATTTATTCAAATTAGGTTGCCATTCCAATTGAGTAGATTTTGTGCAATAACAGTATGTGAACCGTAAGGCCAGCAGTGAATGTGTAAAACACCTACTGTATATGTGCAGTATACTCAGTTGCTTCGTAGGGCATGGATCTTTCAAATACCATTGGCAAGCCTTACAGAAAGTAGGCCAACATTCTGCAATGGAGCAGCAGCAGCAATCTTTTCAAACATTCCTGTTGCTTCATGCTGGTAATGAGGTACTGGGTAAATACTCACTCCATCCAGAATGAACTCTAGAAGATTTAACCATGATGACTAAGCTCTTGTTGGCAACAGAAGAATTGCTGAATAGCACAAACTGCCAGTTGGTCAGGACTGCCACTAGGCATCAGCTTGACATCAGCACAGGGTTTCCCAACTCTAATATCTTCACAATTTTCTTGATGCAAATAGAATCTCAACAAATATCTGAAGGTCAAACTCTAACTTTACCACTCTACAAAGCACCCGAGAAATATAGGAATTAGTACAGTACAGGGTTTATGAGACGTAATTTAGTCTGCTGTCAAATCTGGAAATACTGATACAAGGCAGCCTTAGTGTCTTGCTACAGTAGTACTGTATGATCAGTCAGGAATGTTTTGAAAAGATTCCTGTTGCACTGGCAGTGCAGAACATTACTCTGCCCTGACTGACATGATTCTGAACAATGACCTTCAGTGATCTTGCCCTAGGAGCATCAGGATACTTGCTACAAAAGAAGCTTTCATATTTACTCAAAGCCTGATTTTTTTTAAGAGTACTAAAGTTATAAATTTAATTCTTTAAAACAAAAAAGTACTTTTGTCCATGACATGACATTGTAAATCTAGTGATACCATACCAAGTGTTATATACAGTATTTAAACATTATTGGATCTTATTAAAATGTGTATTGAAAAAATTTGTTTTTGATTTTCTAGATGACTGTTTAAACATTGTCAAGATCTTGAGGGCACTGGCAGACCACGGATGCAAGTTCCTGCCGACGATGTCTATTCAGTAGCATACAGTACAGTATTTCAATTATGTGCTAGGAAGTTCAATTTGATTCTTCTGCAACAAGGAGCTTTTGGTGCTTTTTAACCTTACATTTTCAGAAAAGTGGTTACAGCTTAGCTGAATGCAAAGGGGCATTTCAATTATTTTAATTTGTGAGGGGGGGGGGGTATTACTGTACTTTCTCATCAAAATGATAAATGCAAAATTGTAACCGACATGAATGCAGGCCATGATTTTGCTCACTTCGAATGCACATAATTTTTCCAGGAATTTAGGCGATTCATATTAAGAGCGTCTATTTACCAAATAAAATAACTGAAGTAGACAACATGAGATGACAAGTATTTTTCAGTTTCATCTAAAACTGTTTATATTTTACATGCTCCCCATTTTGTTAAAGAGGTACAAGATAATGCTAGGTAATTAACAGTGTGACTATAGAGCACTTGAAAGATACCCTGTTCTAGTATCAGACCAGGGTTATGATAATGGGGTGAGGGAATGGTGCCCAACCTCTTTGAACAATGGGAATTGAGCACGGAGCTGCAACAATTGAGGCCATTGCTGTTCTGACTAATCTATTTGGATGAATCATTCTAAAATCAATCTAGTAAACAAAATTATGAAGATTCTTTAATTTGGCACTCATTAAATGCACAAAATAAAATATAAAAAATGTCTAATTTGTACTTTTCCAAGTCTAATGATGTCATACTTATTCAGTTATTACCTCTTTTCAGCAAGTTTTCTAATAGATAATTTCAAGGCTTGTTATGGGATGTATAATATTTTCTTTACGGTGTTATATGGAATACTTCACGCATAGTCTTTTGAGAGAGCAGAGATACGTTTGTAGATAGTGTGGCAGTGGTGCGTGTAATGCTCTTGTTGAGGAGGGTGCCATATTATGACTGGTCTTCTTTTCCATCATTTCTAAGTTTTAACCAAACCATAAAAATACGTAAGGGCAAAATAATTATGTATATTGTACATAAGTTTTAATCTTCAATCAGAGTTCGGCTTGTACAGTATGTATACTCAGTATATAGAGTGACGTTTCGTTTGGAAGCGTTTGAATGGAGCTCGGTGCAGTGAAGTCAGGATGCATCGAGTATCATCTAAATGTAATTACCTAAGTGTAGTTACAGGATGAGAGTTATGCTCGTGGTGTCCCGTCTTCCCAGCACTTTGTCATATAACGCTTTGAAACTACTGACAGTTTTGGCCTCCACCACCATCCCACTTAGCTTGTTCCAACCATCTACCACTCTACAAAAGAAAATTTTCTAATGTTTTTGCGGCACCTTTGTTTCCAGCTATGTGTCCTCTTGTTGTTGAAGTTCCAGGTCTCGGATATGTGTAGTAGTTTTCATGTGCTTTGATTATTTAACTCTGTTCACGCCCCATAACATGTAACCCAAGTTTTCCTGCATATCCAAATTGGCATCAGATACAAAACTTTTTTCTTATGAAAATATGCATAAATTCATGTTCTATAATTTATGGCAACTAAAAATAGGTCTGAACCAATTAAGTTGGATAATCGAGACACTGTATTCTGTGTAAAGTACTGTACTGTACTGCAATTGCTCCCATAATTAAGGCATGCACAGTTCTATGATGCTGTGGTCACATACGGCCATAAGGCCAGTAACTTCTTTTGTACTTGTGATCTCATTCGTTACACATTGTTGTTTCAACCCCATGATGGAAAATTTATTGTTAAAACAATTTTAAAGTGTTTATTAATGTACAGTATTTTCAAATGATTAAATTGTCAATAAATATCAGAAGATGTGTATATTGAATACCAAATTATATACCAGGCTTATACTGTACTAAATATGGGTCCAATATATATCACTCATGATGTCAATACGAGAGCAAAAGACAAGGCGAGTGATGACGTCGAAGGCATTTGATTCACAAAAGATTCTATCGAGGGACAAGTGACCCAGAGGAAAGCAAGACTAACGTTTACCCCTAAAATAAAGACGTTCTACGAAGAAATGAGCGACTCAGCAGAATAATGCAGTTTAGACAATAAGGAGCAGGGCATTATTACGTTAAGTGCATCTGGCTGATACACAGCATATTCAGAGCCACTGTCCAATGTCTATTACGGTGGTAGGAGAAAAGTCACAGTTATGTATACACAAGTTATGTCAGCTTGGATCACTGATCATGTCAATGGTTGCCGATTGAGGTATGTATGACTTGGTAGAAATCCTAGTAAGAAATTTATTTATGGGAGATAGGCTAGGCACAAATTGTAAGTTCATTCAAAGTAACACCAACGTGGTTGGGTACCCAGTAAAATCCGATTGTCTTAAATCTGCTACAGATGAGAAATGGCAAGCATTTGATTTTGATCGCCATAGGATGGGAAGGGTTTTAATAAAAGACTTAAGAGCCATTAGGGCACTAAGTCAAAACCATAATAACCAAGGGATGTTGACACACACAAAGCAGCTGGTACAGAGTATACAAAATTGCTAAAGCTCCTCCGGGTGACCGTGCCACGAAAGGTCTTGGTGGTATAACTGAATTCGTTCTCGCCTCACACTTTAGAATCCCGGTGACAGAAATGGTTGGGCACATTTAATATCATCTAATTGCCCCTGTTCACCTAGCAGTAACCTAGGAGTTAGTTTCTTGCCTGGAAAGGGTCAGTAATTCGACCTTGGGGCAGGACCTCGATACATGTATAAAGATACACTGGCTGCCTGTCCCTTAACACAATGAATTATTAAATTATTTACCGGAATTGACCCGAGGGCCACTATCACTAGTGGCATCGACAAGGACATGAAGCCGGCGGCTTGTGAAAGGCACCCCCCGCCCCATTTGCCCTGATTTTTTTCAAGCTGGTTTTTTAAATTCATCAGTGTTTTGGTATTTACAGCTTCGGCGGGTATGCGGTTCCATGGGTTGATAACTATGGGTGAAAAAAATGTTTTCTGTCTTGTGGCTCCAGCTTGAAAACCATTGATCGTTGTTTATGTTACATCTGACCTTTTGAAGTAGTTGTTCGAATCAATATTCTCCAAATTGTTCTGTATTTTTAAAAGTTTCGACGAGATTCGCCATGTGTTTGGTTTGCAGTGTAGTTAGCCCTGAGGCCCCTCAACCGTTCCTGGCATGAGCGTCAACTTTGTTCTGGAAGGATTTTTGTTTTCTGGCGTTTAACTTTCTCCAAAGTAGCTATGTATAACTAAAGATAAGGTCTATGCTTGTATACAATAATACCTTTTTCTTACCCCCCCCCCTTTTCTTATTATATACAAGTGTTGTTACATTCTTGTACAGCCACTAGTACGCGTAGCGTTTCGGGCAGGTCCCTGGAATACGATCCCTGCCGCGAAGAATCGTTTTTTCATCCAAGTACACATTTTACTGTTGCGTTAAACAGAGGCTACAGTTAAGGATTTGTGCCCGGTAAATCCTCGCACGATATTCTTACGATTTTCCTCTTATCTGCTCCTCACTTCTCATCTCGCTCTCTTACCTTATCTATTTCCCTGTCCCTTCATCTCTTCTTTAAGGGCTCACTATAGCCCGTATTACATGGAAATTGTTCCGAGTAGCTGAATCTAAAACAACATCCTCCTCTCTTCTGTTACATGACTTCATAATGGTCCAGGACGGACCGAAACACATACATTAGTTGCTTAATTTAGAGACTACTTGTGGTCGGTCTCGAGGCCATTGTTGATGTGACTGCAGATTTTTTTTTTAAACTTTAACTCTACTAAATTTTAGGGTTCAGTCCCTGAGCCCATTATGTGCCTCTAACCCTTTCCCCACTTCTGCCCACAGGATGGGTATGAGGTGCATAATAAATGAATTAAACTGCGAGGTGGTGAATGATTCTCTCGATGAACTTGCAGATGTGTGACGTTGATTAACTTAAGAACAAAGAATTTTAGAATCGAAAACTGGTTATGGTAAAGTAAAGTTTGGGCCACGTACCCAGCATGCATACACAGGCTGCCCGTCTCCAACAAAATTAATTATACAGATTTGACGAGGAAATACCAGAGCATAACCAACACAGTCGGGAGACTTTGACTTGTATGTGAACACAAGTGAAGGGGTAGGAAAAGTATTCGAGGACTAGGCATTTCATAACAAGGTGCATAAGCCATCACCATGCAGATCTGCAGAGTACTAAAGGCTGGAACACTTTGAAGCCATATTTCTATACTTACGTTTTAATCTCTTTTTTTTTCTCCAGACAATAATAGTATACATATAAGCAACCAAAATTGTGATAGCTTTTAGTATTAAAATAATTTACATAATATTTATCATAGTTATATTATGTAAAGTTTTCCATAGAAATACCTATAGACGTCAGTAGTTATATAATAATAATTTTCTATTTACAAGAAGGTATAATGGGTTTGTGAAGTTACATAAGATTGGTATTTTTACATTCTTGCCAATCCATATTAACACGCATAGTGTTTCGGTTTTGGATTATAACTATGTAATATAAGTATTAGGTATTTGTAATATATATAAACTTCTATGATACAAATTTTAATTTCTTTAAATTCCCGACAACTAACAGTAAACAATCACTTGCGAATATAGAATACCTTTTGAGTGAATAGTAAATATAAACAATTCTCTGCTGGTGTAAATATGTACCCATGAGTTAAGTCAGCTTGTGGTAGATCAGCAGGAGGGTCAGCTATTCGACCTTTGGGGGAGGGGGGTAGGTGACCTCGATATTAGCCTAAAATGTATATATGTTACAATGGCTGCCTGTCCCCCGCCATCCCACTCAATGAATTATTAGATAGAACGGAATGGAACGGTGCAACCCGCGATGTGTCATTAAAACAATCGTGAGACATCAACAGGAAAGTAATGATCCCTTCGACAAATCACCACTTACCTGCTAGAGAGCGTCAGGTGATAATTAGCAGAGCAGCGTCAGCAGCAGGTGGTAATTAGCAGAGCAGCGTCAGCAGCCGGTGATAATTAGCAGAGCAGCGTCAGCAGCAGGTGATAATTAGCAGAGCAGCGTCAGCAGCAGGTGGTAATTAGCAGAGCAGCGTCAGCAGCCGGTGATAATTAGCAGAGCAGCGTCAGCAGCAGGTGGTAATTAGCAGAGCAGCGTCAGCAGCAGGTGGTGCGCTGACGACTGCAGGGGCCAGAATGAGGGCGGGAAACCAGAGCTGTCACCTGGTGGCGGCCTCACACACCACCAGGCAACTTAATTGCCTTGTTTCCTTAGCTGGGCTGCCTAGTTAAGCAGTCGCTAAATGCTTTTTTGGCTTCTATGTTTGTTTGTTTTTCTCTTGTGCTTGATCTTTTGATTCACCCTGCGTGTCTCGTTTTGTAGGAATGAGATCCGACGTTCAAAAATTGACTCATCTATAGTTGAACGTATAAAAACTGTTGCAACAAATAACAAAAAAATATTATTTATTTTATAGATGGCACGAGAAGGAAGGCAAGAACCAAACATACCTTTCCTAGACCAAGCATAGCACGTATATATGTACTAAATTAGGTCTAAGATGATGTGTGTGTGTCTCTCTCATATATATATATATATATATATATATATATATATATATATATATATATATATATATATATATATATATATATATATATATATATATATATATATGACAATGTCAGACCACGGAGGAAAATTGAAACAGGAAATTTCCTTAAGTACTTTCGTATATTAAATACATCTTCAGAAGGACCAATATATACGAAAGTACTTAAGGAAATTTCCTGTTTCAATTTTCCTCCGTGGTCTGACATTGTCACATTCTTAATCACGTGTTTATTTTCGTGATATACACACACACATATATATATATATATATATATATATATATATATATATATATATATATATATATATATATATATATATAATTAGGCCGAGGATTGCATATTTAGTACTCGCAGATTAGGTTAGGCTGTATAGTTTCAGTTTTTAGCGTCCTATTTTGGAGTATTCAAATTGCTCGAAACGTGAAAATTGTTGTATAAACAGTACATTTTCACGTTGAACCAATTACTGCTATAAGTACTCTCATTTTTGAAGGAAGGACTGATCAGTTGGGCCTGGTCTTTGCTCCCGGAAGGTACCAGTTTAAAAGCTAAGGGAGTCATTCCCTTGAGCTAGGCGTCCCACCCAGAAAAAATATCCAAAGCGTAAGTATTCCATGAACAAAATTAACATTCCTGCATTCCTCCTGTCACTCATATATCCTCATTCTTTCGTGAAATTCCAGTTCCTTGAATACCCAGTCCTCAAAATGATACAGTCATAAATATAACCCAAGCCTCACACATAACTCTGATCTTTCATGCACCATAGAAATTCTTGTAAAAATCCTCGTACAAACATGGCCGTGTCCAGATAAACATGTTTGCGGGTCATGATGCCGAACAGCTTCTCTAAACATTTACTATAATGCGAGTATTTTGTTTTATGAAGAGATCTTTCCTCCAGTGGTCGGGAAAAAAATGAAAAACTGCTTCTATGAAGTATTCCTTTTAGTAGGTACATTTTCTGGTGTTTGCTCTCCTTCACCTTCAGTGTGGTATGTACACACACACACACACAAACACATATATATATTCCTCAATGTTTTCAATCGCGGATTTTGGCATCGTCAAATATTCCAGCTCTGAATATTCCAGCTCTATTCCAGCTAAGTGTGGGATATCGCAGCCTAGTTATGCAATTGTAGGTATACAACCCATTCTGTTTAGATAGTAGTTTTTGTAACTACTGTATGTGCACCACAGTACAAAGATTGCCGTTCTAAGCAATTAGATAGCAGGACTTTGTACTATTCACTTTATAGTCGTAAAAATATGAAGCTAAAAACAAATATTCCTAGGCCTAGTATAGCTCACATATGTACTATATTAGACCTCATAAATCGTATATTGGGCCTAGGAAGGTTAGGTTAGTTTACCTTGTCTTTGTAACATAAGTAGAAAATAGTTTTCCCGGTTTGTCCAACTCAGTAGTGCCGATTTCTACTTTCTAATTTCGCTATAAGTCGGTATATATACTATGGTCCTCATCGTTACTATAAGTATTACCAAAACAGGAGGATGGGCTGAGGTATAATTCTAGCCCAGTAGAGTTAGTTTATCAGGTCTGGACATTTATAATATTGACATGTAGGACGAAAATATGTATCCAGGAATGTATATTATCCAGCTACCTGTAGATGCCCCAGAATTAATATTGTCCTTCCATTCTTTCAGATGTGTGGGTTGGAGTCTAATATCGTCCAGTTACACATTTCCTAGAAATATATTATTACAACCATTAGTTTTTTCTGCCGCAATTTATTACTATATTAACGCTGTCTTGATTTTTATTATTATAATATAGTACCTTATATGGCCAGGGAAATGATCCTAAGTAGTGTGATGCACTGATATATATAATCCCTCGAGGTCGTCAACTGATAATAATACAATAGGAGACCTGATATCAACTTTTATTGACAATTTACACACTCACACCTAAGTACAACTCTGCTACATGTAACACACTCTCTCAGTACGGGGCTACTGCTGGTAATAACACTTTGTTGACAAACATACACGCACTCGTGGTATGACTGCTACTTGTAACACTCTCAGTACTGGGATAAGTAGTGATATTTATTGTTTACAAACACAGGTCCTCGCGGCCTGGTTACTTGCTCTCACAGTTTACTTAGAACTGTTTTTTTTATTATGGTGGGTTTTATTCTTGCCTCTAAAGCTCACGCACAATGTTGATATGTTTGACAAGTAGACGAAGATCGTTTAACGTACAATGGAAATACTTAACCGATGTCCACTCTATATACATTCACCATAAACAAAAACAATACATTAAGATAACATGAAAATATGTATTTGTGTGAAAGGCCCTCTTACATTTAGTCCTGAATATGAATGTAACACCAGCCTTATGTTATTAATAAATCTTACGGGGAAAAAAAGGTATCCATTAAGGTACATCAGTATCTTCGCCGTTTGCGTCTAGAAGTTAGGTGACATCGTACTCATGGGGTGACCTAATACCCGCTATACTTTATATATATATATATATATATATATATATATATTAGTATATTTTGGTAGCAGTCTTTCCTGTAGACATATATTATTAAATATGACCGAAAAAGTAAGATTAATAATTCTAACACGAATTTTCTCAATGTTTCTTATATTTTTCTTCACTGTTGATGGTAATTGAAATATAAGAAACATAAGAAAATATAAGAAACATTGAGAAAATTCGTGTTAGAATTATTAATCTTACTTTTTCGGTCATATTTAATAATATATATATATATATATATATATATATATATATATATATATATATATATATATATATATATATATATATATATATATATATATATATATATATATATATATATATATATATATATATATATATATATATATATATATATATATATATATATATATATATATATATGTAAGAGAAAGAATGTGTCTGTCTACCCGTCTATATATTTGTTTGTCTTTGCAAGGTTAGAGGCCATATATGCTTGAGACTCGACTCACTCAACTCTCCCGTTTCTTGCACCAGGTGTCAGTGTTGTGAGGTGGATTGGTCTTTTGACTAGAGGTGCTGATGTCGTTTTCTACTCTGCCTAGAGATTTTCTACAGTCTTTACAGTTGAACTTTTCTGGCATAGAAAATCGGTCCAAGAATCGCTCATTTCTTGCACAAAGTTATACATGTTCTTTTATTCGCTGAAGCTTGAGGCCTTAGTTGGCCTCATGGTGATGTTCAGGAAGCCAAATAGCATATGTTGTTCAAGAGCTGAGAAGTGTACACAAAGGTGGGCGCCAGAAGGAGCTTGCCAGCCTCGTTAACACCTGGGCGTAATGTTTACACGTTCATAGGTCTGGCTGCTTCCAAGTTCAGGGAGAGCATCTGCTCACGCTGGGGTTGTTGTATTGTGATCACGAAGACGAGGAAGAAGGTGGTGAGAAGGAGGAGGAGGAGGAGGAGGAGGAGGAGAGGAGAGATGAAGTGGATGATGAGAAGCACAGATAAGAGGAGAATGAAAACAAAGAGGAAGACGAGGTAGGGCAACACTGAGAATACAGGTACACTGTTCAAGATGTTGGTATTACACAGAAGCTACTGAGGTGTTCTCAGGATGACGTATTACGACACTTACGCTCATACACTAAGATTACATTTACAGATGTCTGGCTGACTGTGTCTCTCAACCTGTGCTCCTGGTTGCTAGGGGAGACAGGTGACCTTCAAGACACCTAAGGCTCTATGGAAACAAGAAGGGTCAAAAATACTCTCTAAACTAAGTCAAGGCTACCAATTTGTTCCTCTAGTTTCTGCCTTTAAAAACTCTTTATTTTGTTGTTTTCGAACACTGTTGAAATATTTATACTAAAAGGTTATAATGCCGAGGAGGACCGCTGTTGTCTTCTGATCCTTCACAAAAAATATCGGCAGTGAGGTACTATCTGAGGATGAATCCCGCTCACCCTCTATTTGTACCCACGTTGACAGCCTACAGCCGCGTCCTCGGATGGCGTTGTGAAGGGCGAGACCATTTCTCCTCCTCACACTCCACCCACACCACCGAGGACGACTTACAAGAAACTGCGTCATGTCCTTAAGTAAGTCCGTAGGTAAGGAGATGGGTCTCACACAAGGCTTCCAGCTCCACCGCCAAGACGGGCCTTCCAGACACCAGCAGCGACCTCAGAGGAGACCGTGGCGGGCGAGGGCGCTCTCCTCGCCCTGGGACTCGGGTCAGGTCCATGGGATGATCTTGACGTAGTCGGGGCTGATGTAGATCTTCAGATCAAGGATGTCGTACTGCAGGTCCTGTACTCTCTCCCTCTTCGGAAGACCTGAGGAGAGGTAGGGGCAATCCCCCACATGATGAAGCACATAATACAACTACAGAAAATACAAAGGATTGATACAATACTGGTTCCTGAACAAGGAGCACTGAGCTATAAGGAAAGGCTGTTAGACTTCACACCACCAGACAAGCAGAAAGGGTTAGAAGCTACATAATTACGACAGATAAGAGTAAATTAATTGGAGCAATGCAGGGGATTCGAACCCGCGACCTGGGCACTCCCAGGCAGCGCACCTTACCTCTGGACCACGACACGGTATAAGATAAATAACCTGGGATGCCACTGAAGCCACAGGGCGTCGGGAGGCCCCAACTGAAGCCAATCCAAATTTAACATATTACCCCCGTGCATCCTGGTATAGGTAATGGAGTTCTTCAACAGACGCTCCGGAGTGTGTGTTGGAGGTAAGGTGCGCGACTTGGGGTTATCCAGGTCGAGGTTCGAATCCCTGCATTGCTCCAATGAATTTGCTCATTGATATATCACGTTAGTGCGTATATTAGTTAGTATACATATAAGAGTCTTAGAGTTTTGACAAAGGTTGGCAGAACCGAAATGTTAATTAATATGAAGAGGTGGAGGGCGAGAGTACCTGGGTGACACTAGACCATAGTGAGGTGAGCCATAGTGAAGCACGTCTGGACTGTAAGATTAATGAGAAAGTCGACTGAGCTGCAAGGGGGAGGTAGTATCAGTAGGAATGACAAGTAGTAAGTGGTGGGAGCCATAGACTGGCCGATTGAAAGGTGGGATGCAGGAGCTGAGGTTTAACCTGCAAGGGCATATATAAGCAATTATACACACACACACACACACACTCAGCATCATTACTAATACCTCCATGACCACTACCACCACCAGTAACCTGTCATCAACAACATCACAACCACCACAACTACTCCTGACAACCAGCAGCAACATCACTTACTCTGCACCATGAGCTTGTAGGCGTAGGTCTGCCCCGGCAGGAGTGACGCGCCGCTGGTGTTCCTGGAGAGGACTCCAGTGTCCTGGTGCAGGCCGAAGCGGTGGTCGCCAGGGGCCGCGAAGAGCTGGTAGGTGACGGAGGCACAGGGGCACCTGCCAGGGCCCTCGGTGCCCAGAGGACACGTCAACCCCAGGTCCCCATCGGTGGCCCACGCCCTGTACACCGGCCCTGGCCAGGGAGAGATGGGTGGTGAATGGCGGGGTCTGGCAGCTGAGTGGAAAGCGCGCAGGACTCATAATTCTGTGGATCAGGTTCGACTCCCGGATCAAGCAGAAACAAATGGGCAAAGTTTCTTTCATCCTGAATGTCCCCTGTTGCCTAGCAGTAAATAGGTACCTGGGAGTTAGACAGCTGTTACGGAGCTGCTTCCTGGGGGGTTGTGGGAAGAAAAATTAGTTAGTAGTTAGTAACAGTTGATTGACAGTTGAGAGGCGGGCGGAAAGAGCAAAGCTCAACCCTCGCAAGCACAACTAGGTGAATACACACACACACACGTTTAATTTCATCTCCAAATAGCAGCATGCATTCAGCCAAGAACAAGTCTCCTTGACAAACTCATTACAGTTTTACGACTGGACGAGGTAAATAATCCAGACAAAATAAGGTCGGACAAACTGCCTCTTCCTTAATTATCAGAATGTCGACACTCCTACACACGAAGCAGGCAGAATAGTACCAAGTAAGGCGAAGGACTACCTCTGTGAAGAAGTAAGAGGCGAAAGTGAGACGACAGAAATCAGAGTAGCGAGAGGTCAAATTGGAGTCCCAAAATTTTTAGTACTACGCTCCATCCTGCTCCGAATACTCTCTATAACGACCTGATAAGAGGCAATTGTCTTGGTATTAACGTAGGCGGACACTGGAACTAATGGACAGAATCAGGGAGAGGGAACTGTGACATCCTGCACAATGAACTAGACACACTCCACCACACCGTAATTTAGATATATACAAAGTCTTGAGGATAGGAACAGGACAAAGAAGACACACAGCAGGGCACATTGAACGGGAGACGGAGTGCTGCCTAAAGAAAGAAAAAGAAGAAAATCTTTGTAGTAGATACAATTGCAATTAGGAAAGAGAAGGACACAGCGATGCCACACACCCCAGCCTCCGGATGACCTATGAGAACATGGACGAACTTAAGCAAGAGATCGTTAACGCCAACAGAAAAACAAACAGGAAAAACAATTCCGTAAGCAAGCCGTTGCACCCAAACCGAACCCCGCAACTTAGCCGCCCGCTCCCCCTGAACGGCCCTCACACCCAGACCGCTCCCCCCGTCCCCCTGAAAACCCTGGCCCTAAAAAAGACCATAGTTCGCGTAATTTTCCAGCGTATGTTTGCTGACCCAACAGCTGGAGAAGTAAGTGTTCCTTTGATCGTCTCTCCACAAACAAACGTCTTCTTTTTCAGATGTGAGTGTAGAGCATTACGGGGGCTGGTGGACGGGAGGCGCGTGCAGCCGTAACACCCAAAACCTGACCCAGAATTACAGTTATGACGTTATAGCAACGCCACACACCTCGTGTGTACCATATATCAAACACCAAAGGTTTATCACTAATTTAGATTACGTTAAGTCAGATTGGGCTGGGCTGGGCTGGGTTAGGTTTACTTAAAGAGTAGTGATGATGTAGACAGGTAAGCAGGCTAACCATAGCCCGTGCTTCTTGCCCCGCTCCTGTGTCAGGTAAGTTACGGGCTCACCATAGCCCGTGCTACTTGGAACTTGTTCCGAGTAGCTGAATCTATAATAACAACAACAACAACGTAGACAGATAAGCAATATGCTCAGATCTTCGACTAACGGCGGAGAGCCTCTGTATGGCTGAAGGCCACAGTGAAGTTAACCGCCGTCCTATAAGCCTGCACTCAACCAATTTTTTACTATTTACTGCAAAAATGCAAATCTTTTGTGAAAAAATTAATTTGATAATTAATTCTAATTAATTTGTAAACAAATCTAATTAAACGAAGGAAGGTAATGTTAACATATATCAACTTTACTCTCCTTTTAATTACTTTTTTGGGAAAGGGGGGGAGAAGGAGGATTGCTTTTTACAAGAAAGCACTGGGATATCTGGTCCCAAGGTGGAGGTGCTCAGCTGAAGCTGGTCCTCCAGGTGTAGTAGACTTCTCAAGGGTGACTCCAGAAGGCCGCAGGCTCTCAGCCCGTTGTCTTAGACCCTACACATTAGAAGAGCCACAGTTGGGTCTTACGGTATAGGGGGCGTTGCAAACCTTGCAAAGTCAGGACTTACGCCAACATTTACCAAACCTGTGCATCTTTCCGTAATAATGGCGGCTTTGTTTACATTTACTAACCAGTTTACGAGCGTCGAAACTTTAAAGCTCGTAGTGATCCGGAGCTCGTAAACTGTTTAATAACTGTAAACAAAGGCGCCATGATTGAGGAAAGATGTTAAGGCGGTTCGCAAGTCGTTTCGTACACGCTCGCCTGGCCAAGCTGCTCCCATTACAGTACAATTATTTTAATGAATAATCAGAATATAATAATATATTCCTCCGATAAAAGTATACGACTTAATTATCAGTATTAATTTGCCTATCTCCCGAGGGCAGGAAGTTATTATTGTCTGCAGAACGGTGGTAAAACGCTGCTCTCTGAACATAAATGATGAACGAGAGATTTAAAACATCGTCGTCTCCTCATCTTCTGGTGTGTGGTTTGATCATCATATCATCAGCCACGTCATTGTAACTCATCGTCTACACCGGGAATTAAACTTTGTCATCCATTTACACCATTTACTGGTGTTTTTGGAGGAATATGAGGAGCTTATGTTGTTGTATGTGGAGTGGTGACATGTTGGGATGTGGGGGGGAGAGAGGAGCACATGTAGGTAATAAGAACATAAGAACAAAGGTAACTGCAGAAGACCTATTGACCCATACGAGGCAGCTCCCACACACAATATATCCCACTAATATTACAGTATTCATCATCACATCAACACGCTCACCAAATGCTAATACTTGCACTGAAACACAAGTAAAGGGAATTAATATATCCCCATACAAGCACGGGAAATACATGTTTACAACGTCACCAGATGAGCGAGATTCTAAACACAAATATGTATGGAAAGATGATGACACTAACAAAAGCAAGGCTGTCTGCCTGCAGCAACAAGCAAGAAGAACACGCTCATCATCAACCCGTTCTCGTACTTCCGTATAGTCAATATTGACTTATTAAATACGTGCATATGTGACATACTAAATATACTAGTTTACCTTGAAAAGCTTCATAGAAAACATTTAATAAGTCAATATTGGCTGTAAGAAAGTGCGAGAACGGGTTGCATCATATTATTTAATGTGAGTTCAGCCATAAAGCATACATCAAATCAAATAATATAACGTTCATAAAATTAGCATCATTAATATCACAATAATATCATGTAACGTAGAAACAACATCTCTGCAAATCTGATGCCAACCTTCCATATGAGAGACGACCATGAACTTTATATAACTTTTGTTTAACTCTCTAACAAAATAATAATATATAAATGCCTTGAAGCACAATTAGTAGCAAGATATAATTAGCCAACGCTAATAACGCGTATTAATGCCCGAAACGCCATGCGTACTAGTGGCTTTAGGTATTGTATGTCCGAGCTCTATAAATCCAACATTACCTTTGTAACTCATCATCTATGGAGTAGAAATAGCCTAAGCTACTCTATCCCTTTGAGATGTAGTTCTTTCTTGTCTCAATAAACATACTTGAACTTGAATGTATGTACTTTTACCTGAATTTGAATTTGAATTTGAATTCATTAAGATGGACCGTTACTGGTTCAAGACATGACTGACTCAATGGAAAGAAAAATCTCGTCCAGCCTCGCTCTCTTCTAAATTTAATTACAGAAAATTTCTCACACAACATCTATACATTAAGGTGAACAGAGGCCTCAGTGTTCAGCTGCTTGTAGATGGTGTCAACAGCTGCCCTCTCTCTCTCTGGGCCGCCGCCATGTTACAGCAGATGACTGGCTCATTGTGATCACAATTCTAATTATCTCTTGTCAGTGGCCGGATGCTGTGTAGTCCGCATGTTCCTTATGACCGCCAGTGGCCGGATGCTGTGTACTCCGCACCTTAACCGTTACACCAACGCCTTAAGAAAGAGGTTCCGAGAAAGAGTTCCTGCGCCAGCTAAGTCCACTACGGGCTCACCACAGCCCGTGCTACTTTGGAACTTTAGTTCTAAGTAGCTGAATCTAAAACAACAACAGTCATCAGCCACACTTACACCAAGACAACTGAAAACAACACGTTACGAAGCAAACATTGAACTTTGTGAGCTGGACTAGTGTAGCTGTGTGCAGTGAGGACACACTCCCGAGGTGTAGACACACGGGGAGCCCTCGGGGACAACATCCTACAACAACTCTAGTTTCACTACAAGTTTGTACAGTATAATGACTCCCACAATGGTGAAGGGGAAGAGGGGAAGGGGTAGAGATGGGGGAAGGAGAGAAGGGGAGGGAGGGAAATGGGGAAGAGGGAAGGTTAGTGGACGAAATTGGTGGAGATTTAGAGTGGAGGAACTACGGTGACAGTGAAGAGGGAGTTTGAGGGAGGGATAGAATGGATTGAAGATTGGGGAACTGAGGGAGAGACGGGTTGAGGGCGTAGGGAATTAGGGAGACAGAACGGCAGTAAAAGGTGGATATATATATATATATATATATATATATATATATATATATATATATATATATATATATATATATATATATATATATATATATATATATATATGAGTGAGGGTGGAGGCGCATATATTATTCCATCATCATAATATACCTCTCACGGGTCCTTTTCGTACATCAGGTCTGAGACGGCATTCATTTTAATACTTACATAAACAACCTGGAATAAAAAGCGTCGTACCTGAAACCCGACAGAAAAAAAAAGGTTTTCTCTTTTTTCCTAGAAAGACGCGAGTGGTCGGCGAGGCTGGGGAAGACGTTCTCATCCTCCCTCTCCTAGTGTGGGATGGCGGGCTGTACCGTCACTTTATTTCTTTTGTGTGTGGTGGATGGTGTATGTCTCCAGCATATACGTCCACTGTTAGCGCCGCGGTGCGTCAATGATATTCCCGGGGGCACGGGGCAGACTGTGTGTGTGTGTGTGTGTGTGTGTGTGTGTGTGTGTGTGTGTGTGTGTGTGTGTGTGTGTGTGTGTGTGTGTGTGTGTGTGTGTCGCCCTTGTGGTCAGGACCGGCGGGACTATGTTTGTCTCTCATTAGTCGAGTGTATGAACACGCGCGTATGTGAGCGTTTTTCTGTGTATGTGGCCGTTTGTATGTATGTTTGCGGGCGTGCGTGTGTGTATATATGTGTGTGTGGGGCGTTTATATGTGTACGTGGGGGCACATGTGTATATGTTGGCGTTAGTATGTTTGTGGAGGGGAGTATGTAGGCGTGGATACATACACACCTAAGACTCATTAACTGATGCAGATATCCTTGACTCACACGAGAACTCTTAACCACACGCCATAGTTATCCTCACCAAGTGTTATCCAAGGGTAGGTTGATTCGGGGGAGAAGCTGTTACCCAGGCAGCAAGTCCCCCCCTCTCTCCACGGAGCTGAAAGTCTCCAATGGAAAGCAAACTGCCTGACCCGCCAGTGGGGGGGCAGGCAATTCTCAGCATTACCAGACAATACCAGGTTGCAGGAGCAGCAATCACAGGCAGAGTGATCAACAATGTACTCGCAGCATCTATAGAAGTGATTACACACAGAAATCACAATAGCGCGATGCATCAAATGAACACATCCACAAGGGGATCCTAATCCTACGATCCTCTCACGTAGGTTCGAACCCTCATCACGGCCCTTGTGGATTTGTTTATAGAAGTGCTGCTTTCCATTGTTTGGAATGGCACGCTTGTTAGGGTTACCGAGGCGAGCCTTTAAGGCAAACAACCTGACCTTTAAGGCAAACAACCTGACCTTTAAGGCAAACAACATGACCTTTAAGGCAAACAACCTGACCTTTAAGGCAAACAACCTGACCTTTAAGGCAAACAACATGACCTTTAAGGCAAACAACATGACCTTTAAGGCAAACAACCTGACCTTTAAGGCAAACAACCTGACCTTTAAGGCAAACAACATGACCTTTAAGGCAAACAACATGACCTTTAAGGCAAACAACCTGACCTTTAAGGCAAACAACCTGACCTATAAGGCAAACAACATGACCTTTAAGGCAAACAACCTGACCTTTAAGGCAAACAACCTGACCTTTAAGGCAAACAACCTGACCTTTAAGGCAAACACCCTGACCTTTAAGGCAAACAACCTGACCTTTCCACGGACTTCAATGTGCAAGAGTTGCCTAACTCCTGGGGGGTACCTAGTTATTTACTGCTATAGGGGAACCAATTTAGCATCAGCTGTAAGGTCACGTGTCCTCTCGACCTGCCAAGGAGTCGAACCCGGGCTCATTCAGTTGTGGGGCGAGTGAAGGGAAGGGAATTATCAGGGGTAAAGCGCCAAGCCATCACGACTACATAGCACTGGGAAGGGGTCAGGATAAGGATTTGGGATGGGACGGGGAAAAGGAATGGTGCCCCAACCAATTGGACGGTCGGGGATTGAACGCCGGCCTGCATGAAGCGAGACCGTCGCTCTACCGTCCAGCTAACCACAAAGCCACGAGCATCCGGCCGTTTAATATACATCCGGCCGTTTAATATACATCCGGCCGTTTAATATAGCTGTTTAATATACACAGTATTAATATCCAGCTTAACTACTTACACAACAACATTTGAAAACTATATTTAATTAAATGGCTATAAAAAAAACAAAATAATAACATACAATAACAACAAAATATTGTAAACAAAACTAATTTGCATTAATGTTGTAGCATTTCAACGGCTAGAAACTTATCTACCAACATTTTGGGAAGGTTAGGTTAGGTTAGTTTCTCAAAGCAACACATCTACTAGTACTACTACCAGGCTACATCATCTACATCTACCAGTCCTACTACCAGGCTACATCATCTACATCTACCAGCCCTACTACCAGGCTACATCATCTACATCTACCAGTCCTACTACCAGGCTACATCATCTACATCTACCAGTCTACATCATCTACATCTACCAGTCCTACTACCAGGCTACATCATCTACATCTACCAGCCCTAATCATCTACATCTACCAGCTCTACTACCAGACATGAACATCAACATCCCCCCCTCCCCCCCTGTTGTGTTTGACTAATTTCCGCCAGTAATTGTGTGTGGGGTGTACAGTGTGGGGTGTACAGTGTGGGGTGTACAGTGTGGGGTGTACAGTGTGGGGTGTACAGTGTGGGGTGTACAAGGTGTGGGGTATACAGTGTGGGGTGTACAGTGTGGGGTGTACAGTGTGGGGTGTACAGTGTGGGGTGTACAAGGTGTGGGGTGTACAAGGTGTGGGGTGTACAGTGTGGGGTGTACAGTGTGGGGTGTACAGTGTGGGGTGTACAGTGTGGGGTGTATAGTGTGGGGTGTACAGTGTGGGGTGTACAGTGTGGGGTGTACAGTGTGGGGTGTACAAGGTGTGGGGTGTACAGTGTGGGGTGTACAGTGTGGGGTGTATAGTGTGGGGTGTACAGTGTGGGGTGTACAGTGTGGGGTGTATAGTGTGGGGTGTACAGTGTGGGGTGTACAGTGTGGGGTGTACAGTGTGGGGTGTACAGTGTGGGGTGTACAGTGTGGGGTGTATAGTGTGGGGTGTACAGTGTGGGGTGTACAGTGTGGGGTGTACAGTGTGGGGTGTACAGTGTGGGGTGTACAGTGTGGGGTGTACAGTGTGGGGTGTACAGTGTGGGGTGTACAGTGTGGGGTGTACAGTGTGGGGTGTACAAGGTGTGGGGTGTACAGTGTGGGGTGTACAGTGTGGGGTGTACAGTGTGGGGTGTACAAGGTGTGGGGTGTACAGTGTGGGGTGTACAGTGTGGGGTGTACAGTGTGGGGTGTACAGTGTGGGGTGTACAGTGTGGGGTGTACAGTGTGGGGTGTACAGTGTGGGGTGTACAGTGTGGGGTGTACAGTGTGGGGTGTACAGTGTGGGGTGTACAGTGTGGGGTGTACAGTGTGGGGTGTACAGTGTGGGGTGTACAAGGTGTGGGGTGTACAGTGTGGGGTGTACAGTGTGGGGTGTACAGTGTGGGGTGTACAAGGTGTGGGGTGTACAGTGTGGGGTGTACAGTGTGGGGTGTACAGTGTGGGGTGTACAGTGTGGGGTGTACAGTGTGGGGTGTACAGTGTGGGGTGTACAAGGTGTGGGGTGTACAGTGTGGGGTGTACAGTGTGGGGTGTACAGTGTGGGGTGTACAGTGTGGGGTGTACAGTGTGGGGTGTACAGTGTGGGGTGTACAGTGTGGGGTGTACAGTGTGGGGTGTACAGTGTGGGGTGTACAGTGTGGGGTGTACAGTGTGGAGTGTACAGTGTGGGGTGTACAAGGTGTGGCAGTGTCTTGTTAGTGTGAGTGGGAGTCTCCAGGTCTGCTCAACACGCACAGCAATATCGTCAGAATTACCGCCAATTTTCCTGACCAAATGGGTGCAATCTGTCTGTCTGTCTGTCTTTTTTGTTCTCAACCACACGCTGTCTGTCTGTCTGTCTGTCTCTCTTTCTCTTACATCTCTCTCATTTATGCCATTCTCTTCCATTATCACCTATTCCTCTACTCTATAATCCCAAGTTTCTCTTTTCTCCTTTCTGTTCTGTCCACCCACTAGGACTGGACGGTAGAGCGACGGTCTCCCTTCATGCAGGTCGGCGTTCAATCCCCGACCGTCCCATCCCAAATCCTGAACCTGATCCCTTCCAAATGCTACGTATAGTCGTGATGGCTTGGCCGTTTCCCCTTGATAATTTCCTCCTTTCCTCTCTGTCCTCTCCCTTTCCGTTCCATGCCCTTCCTTCGCAGCTTGCAGCTCCTGGGCTCCGGCTCTGTGCCCAAGGAGCCGAGGAGATTGTACACCCAGCCACCAGGGGCTGTTAGGGGGATTACCGCGTGTGCGCGGGCGTCTGTGCGCTGGCTATACCCAGATTAAGTGTACCAAAAGGAAATTAAGCGTGGAATGACGATATCATGCGAGGGATAGCGATATTATACGAGGGATAGCGATATTATGCAAGGGATAGCGATAATAACTCTCCCCCCACACACCACCACACTCCCCCACACACACCCGCACACACACCCCCTACACACACCCCCACACCCCCACACACACCACAACACCCCCCCCCACAACACATGAGCCAACAACGCCACAATATATGACCACGAAGACCACCATGAAGTTATAATATTATCTGCAGTCATTAGCGTCAGAAGGTGAAAATATTATATGAAGATTATTTAGTGTTGGCGGCGGGAAATCCAATGACCTGCTTTATGATAAAAATATTAGGTCGGTCCTGTTGAGAGAGAGAGAGAGAGAGAGAGAGAGAGAGAGAGAGAGAGAGAGAGAGAGAGAGAGAGAGAGAGAGAGAGAGAGAGAGAGAGAGAGAGAGAGAGAGAGAGAGAGGTAGAGACGGGTAAGGAAGAAGGAAGGAACGGGAAAGGAGAGAACTAGAGAAGAGGTTGGAGGTAGAGATAGGGAAGGAAGGAGGTAGGGAAGTAGGGAGATAATAAACAGGGGGACGTAGGGATGTAGTGAGGGAGGGAGGAGAGTGGGAAAAGGACAGAGGGATAGAGAGAAAGGGGGAAGGGAGGGGGGGGGTATGACCCCGTGGTGGAGGCAGGAGGTGGAGCCTTAATTAACCAGGTGTAAAGGCCACGTAACTCACCTGTAATATTCTCAGGCACGACAGCCGTGGCTCCGTGGACGAGGAAGCGAGGGGCGTAGTTGTCTTCTGTGGGGACAGATGGCGTTAGTGAGTGCTACTTTAGACGACACTGAAAGAGGCAGATAATGAACTGTGCAGCCTCCCGTTACCAATAATGATCCACTAGAAATAGGAGAACTGCTGGAGATTATAAAATATTGAATGGTGGCCATGTTGACCAGACCACACACTAGAAGGTGAAGGGACGACGACGTTTCGGTCCGTCCTGGACCATTCTCAAGTCGATTGTGAATTACTTTAGCCACGTTATTGTGACTCATCGCCTGCAATGGTGGCCATAATATTAGACCAGAGTCGCGGCACTACAGACCTGTACCACCAGTACACCTCTGGACCCAGATTCACGAAGCAGTTACGCAAGCACTTACGAACCTGTCCATCTTTTCTCCATCTTTGGAGGCTTTGTTTACAATTATTAAACAGTTAATGAGCTCCAAAGCACCAGGAGGCTGTTTATAACAATACCAACAGTTGATTGGCAAGTTTTCATGCTTGTAAACTGTTTAATAAATGTAACCAAAGCCGTCAAAGATTGAGAAAAGATGTACAGGTTCGTAAGTGCTTGCGTAAGTGCTTTCGTGAATCTGGCCCCAGGCACACGCTGGTGTAACTGGGAAAGGGCTAAGGTGGATGAGGGAGTGCCTCTCTGATAGGAAACAGTGGTTGACAGTTCATGAAGTTTTAAATGATGCAAAAAACTAATGTTGGGAATCAGATCAGAGAACTGCAAATAATTCCAAATTGATCAAGACAATTCAGAGTTGGTCTTTAAAGTAACTTTGAACTTTAACCTTGAAAAACGCTCAGATCACTGCACACCACCTACGTGACACTAGTCATGGAGAATGCAGCCCCATTGTGGAGCCTCACCCTGAAAATACACAACGGGAAACTAGAAAAGATAGAAAGCTTAGCATAAGCTTCGTCCCAGAATTATGAGGGATGGGGTATGAAGAGAAGCTCAGAGAACTAGACCTGACGTCGCTAGTAAAGAGGAGGAAGAAGAGACATGATAGAGACATAAGATAAGACTTACTGGATGGTAAAAGATAAAATGCTCAAAATAACAAGAGGACATAAATGGACACTTGTCAAACAAATGAGTCGAAGATGTTTGAATTATTTTATATATTTTAGCGCAAGAAATTGTTATTAAAATGGAAACAACTAAATGACCAGGTTACAGAAGCCAACAGCCAATCATTATTTTAAAAGTGAAGAGAGAGAGATTGAGCGGAAATTTTTGTATGACACAGTCAGCAGCTGGAAAGGCGGGGCTCAAGAGTTGAAGCTCGATCCTGCAAATACAAACATGCCCGAAACGGTATGAGTACTAGTGGCTTTAGGTATTGTATGTACTACCTCCATCTTTAAATCTAACAGAATATTTGTACTGTAACGCTGCAACTATTTATGTACTGTTCCTAAATAAATTATTATTATTATGTGAGCATAAAGAGGTGATAGAGGCGAGCACAGATACCCGCACCAGATGAAAGGGTTCCTGATTTCAATTTAGGCAAAGAAGCTGTGGTATTTATTCAGTAATTCATTTTGTAATTGAAAGGGATGGGATTACCACAGCTGGTGTGTAATGTTTGTTTATTGAGACCACAAACACAGGCAACGACGGGGGCGATTGGTAGCCAGGTGTTTGGCCCGTAGTGTTGGACAGGTGTGGGGTATACCTGACTTGGTGTTGCTGCACGGGGGATTACTGTTTTATAAATCCTCACCCTGATTGTCTTGGTTGGGGATTACTGCCTTCTAAGCCTTAGTCTTATATACCTCCGCCACATAAATCTCCAAGCTGGTGGTATTATTAAGCACACGCTGAGCCTTCTAAATCCCCTCGTGGGTAGTGTTGGACGGGGGATTACTGCCTCTTAAATCCCTACCTTGATGACACTCTCAGTAAGGTACTTTATTATAATAATACCAGTGATGGTGCTCTTCCCCCCCCCCTCTCACTACTCTCCCTCACCTCTCCCTATGGTCAATTACTGGTGGGTGAGGGTAGTGTTTGGCTGGGTAAGTCACTAGTGTACTGTCCAGGTAAGTACTAGTATACAAATCCACAAGGGCCGTGACGAGGATTCGAACCTGCGTCCGGGAGCATCCCAGACACGGTCCTTGTGGATTTGTTCATTTGATGCATCACGTTAGTGTGATCTCTGTGTGTGAAGTACTAGTGTACTAAGTCCCTTGTTGTGTCTCCACCACACTACACTATGCCAGCTACCCTGCCTGTGTGTGTGTGTGTGTCTATGTGTGTGTGTGTGTGTGTGTGTGTGTGTGTGTGTGTGTGTGTGTGTGTGTGTGTGTGTGTGTGTGTGTGTGTGAGGGGAGAGAGAGAGGGTTCACGTACCGTAACGCTGACAGAAGGATCCTCCCCAGCACGGGTAACATATGCACGGAACTTCTTCACCCGCGTACCCGTTCACACATCTGGAAAAGTATGTGTGAGAGAGAGAATGATTAACAACAGGTTAACATAGTAAGACATTCTAACAAACAAACAGCATTCTAGCAAACAGCTTTCAATATATTATGTCATCGAGTAGCTCAGTAGTACGACATTTAACCCTGTGGTAGCTCAGTCGATTAAGGCAGTGTCTGGGATGCTCCCGGACGCAGGTTCGAATCCTCGTCAAGGCCCTTGTGGATTTGTTCATATTATCCAGTGTTTGAGGGCGGGTGTGTGTGTGTGGAGGCCGGGAGCTGCAATAGGCGGCGTTGCGGCGCCTATATGTCTACTAGGTATATTTATATATCTAATATATATCTACTACATATCTACATATCTATCGTCCTCAGACTAGTTTAGTGTTGGACTTAAGGACTTAAGGCCACCACAACATCTTAAACTGTCCAGCTAGCATGTAAAATTTTGCCCTGATATTGAATCCAAGACAAAATCACTCTGCATGTATATATATACACCGAGAAATTGGGGTATGTTTTTAAATTTTAATTTTTTTTTATGTATTTATCTTGTCATGTATATGCCTGGAATATCATGTTTGTCGTAAAAGCCTCAACCTTGTGGTATATATATATATATATATATATATATATATATATATATATATATATATATATATATATATATATATATATATATATATATTGTTGAATAAGACCGAAATAGTAAGATTAATAATTCTAACACGATTTTTTCAATATTTCTTATCTTTTTCTTCACTGTCGGTGGTAATGAAAATATGAATTCTCCAAAATTCATTTTTATTAAGGGTCTGACGCCTAGTAGCGTTTCGTAAGGGCTTCTTACATTCTCCAAGACTTCTTTACACTTAACACTACACTTATGATACACTTGATGCACTGTGTACGAAACATTTGACATAACGCTTGCTTTTTATTGGTTTGGGTGAGGTGGGTACATGAGAATGTACATGGGTACATTACATGGGTCTCCTTCCCTCAGGGGAAAGGGTAAGTTCAGGGTAAGTTCAGGTCGTTCAGAGTCCCCCCTCCCCCGAGGGGAGGGGACTCTGAACGACCCGCTGTCCCAACTCTTTCTTTTTCAACTTACGTTTGAAACGTTGTGTAAACTTTATATTAAGTGTAATACATTCTACAGTTATTTATTTCTTTTTCTTCACCTCGAACGAAGATGAACTTTGGAGAACTCCTCTTCCAGTTAAAGAAAGATGCCAGAGCACTAGTCAGAGGGATAGAAGCCCTAAACAAGAAAATAATCAATACAGAATATGCAGTCATATTCAGTGAAATATATATATATATATATATATATATATATATATATATATATATATATATATATATATATAATATTGAAATATTAACCCATCTATTTATAAGTTGTATGGAGGGATATCAGCCGTTTGGATATCACTGCGGGAGTTATCATCCCTAACCCACCATGTATGCATTCCACATGTGTGTTGATACATGCCACATGTGCGTTGTATACATGTCACATGTGCGTTGTATACATGTCACATGTGCATTGTATAAATATCACATGTGCGTTGTATACATGTCACATGTGCGTTGTATACATGCCACATGTGCGTTGTATACATGTCACATGTGCGTCGAAGGTGCAGTCATGGGATTAAGTTAAATCGGCTCAAGACCTTCAGTATTCATGAACGGGTTATAACGAGCGATAACTCAATCAAATAAATGCCTAATCCATGACTGATATTTCCCGAGGACGGCCAAACTTTGCCCCAAGTATCCTATAACTTACTCTAACGCCTCCAAGTTAAGGCAACACTATGTCCCAGATAGTTTTCATATAAATACAGCGGCCATGTTAGTTGTCGGTCGCTGTGCCCGTGAGGTTCAGGGTCCCTCAGTTGGGGTATGTTGGTCGTTCAGGGTCCCTCAGTTGGGGTATGTTGGTCGTTCAGGGTACCTTAGTTGGGGTATGTTGGTCGTTCAGGGTACCTTAGTTGGGGTATGTTGGTCGTTCAGGGTACCTCAGTTGGGTATGTTGGTTGTTCAGGGTACCTCAGTTGGGGGGTATGTTGGTCGTTCAGGGTCCCTTAGTTCGTGGGTATGTTGGTCGTTCAGGGGCCCTTAGTTGGGGCATTTTCTCAACGAGCCGAGGATCTCCAAGCCGATCGGAACAAAGCTGTAGCAGTGTGCCAGACCTCTGTATATAACGACTTTCTGCGTTTCGCTGCAAGAACCAGCGCCTTCCCCTTCGCTTGTGCTGTGTTGGAGGAAGGTACTGGCTAGTGTGGAAGCGCATGTGTAGTTCCACACCACTTGCTTACCATCCTTCCCAGGAAGCAGGTGGGAAGCGTTTGGGCACTTCCGAAGTTCGTTGGGTCTGAATAGGTGTGGTTCTCTTTGTGCTGGGCAGCGGGCCGTGGCGAGGCTCCTCTTGATGATGTCGTTGACTTCTTCATGTCTTGCAATCTTACCCTGTGATTTACGACACACCAGACCATAATGACCATATTGGTCTGCCATCGCAATTCTGCATATATATATATATATATATATATATATATATATATATATATATATATATATATATATATATATATATATATATATATATATATATATATATATATGTGTGTGTGTGTGTGTGTGTGTGTGTGTGTGTGTGTGTGTGTGTGTGTGTGTGTGTGTGTGTGTGTGTGTGTTGTACCTATTTACTGCTAGGTAACAGGGGCATCAGGGTAAAAGAAACTCTGCTCTGCAGGGAATCGAACTCCGGACAACAGGATTACGTGTACAGCGTGCTGTCCACTCAGCCACCGCCCCCCGTGTGTACATCGCACTGTGTGTGCGTGCCCGGGAGTGGGTATATTTCATTTGAATGAATGTAGTCATATGTGTCTTTATAATGTGTCATAAACCTTATGTTTGTGACCACTGTTTGTATTCTCTCTCTCTCTCTCTCTCTCTCTCTCTCTCTCTCTCTCTCTCTCTCTCTCTCTCTCTCTCTCCAGCGCGATATATTGGTGTAGTAAGAATAAAATGGCTGTATGGTTTACGAACCCTCTGTGTCACTCCTGTCACGCCCATAACCAGTGTGCGTGTGTATAGTCACGCACACACACACACAGTCTGGTGGGACGCCACCAGACTAGTCCCAGAACTGAGAGGTAGGAGCTACGAGGAGAGGCTACGGGAGCTAAACCTCACATCCATGGAAGACAGAACAGTAAGGGGAGACATGATAACCACCTACAAAATTCTCTGCGGAGTTGACAGGGTGGACAAAGACAAACTCTTTAGCACGGGTAGGACACGAACAAGGGGACACAGGTGGAAACTTAGTACCCAGATGAGCCACAGAGACGTTAGAAAGAATTTTGTTCGGTGTCAGAGTAGTTAACAAATGGAGTGCATTAAATAGTAATGTGGTGGAGGCTGACTCCATACACAGTTTCAAATGTAGATATGATAGAACCCAGTAGGCTCAGGAACCTGTACACCAATTGACAGTTGAGAGGCGGGACCAAAGAGCCAGAGCTCAACCTCAGCAAACACAACTAGATGAGTACAACTAGATGAGTACACACACACACTCACACACAATTATCATAATAATAATTGTTGTATTTAATAATTATCACAATTCATCTACTTAAGTCTTGAAGGACGCCGGCTTCGGGTGACAGAGGGCTGTGACGATCTCTGTCAGGAACCCGTAAGTGCGGGACCGGCCCGTCCACCTCCTGGGGCTCTTGCGGCCCCCCAGGCTCTGCTTCAGGAGGCTGGGGTCGTTCTTGCCTTGCTGGGATGGTTCTTCTCCGGCCCCGACCACGGCGGTCTCCGGGTTTGGAGTCACTGAGCCTTATTTCACCAACTTCGAGGTCAACTCCGGAACTCCCAGTTGCTGCGACGGCGCTGGAACCAATCGTATTGGCGTTTGCCTTTCCAATGGAGACTTGTCGCCGTGGAGACGGGTGGGGACCTGCTGCATGGGTAACAGCTTCTCCCCCATATCAACCTACCCTGGCTTTGCGCCCTGGAGAGCCACTCCTACAACTCCATAGTCTCCTGAGACTGATGGATGCTTACTACTAGCGCAGTTGTTAACACTTGCGAAACGGAAACCGGATCACTCAGCCGTGTCTCAAGAGTCACAGCAGTAAGCTGGAGAGGCATAAAGATGTGCTGTTAACTAGCTACCGGAGGTGCTACATTTGCCAAAGCTACAAGATAAAGAAACAAGAAGCGATATGATCACTACGTACAAAATAGTAACAGGAATCGACAAAAATTGAGCAGGAAATCTTGCCCTGTAGTTTCATTCCGTCTCTTGCATATCTTCCCGCTCTCTCCTGTCAATATTAATTCCCAATTCTCCTCCTCTCCCCTCCCTCCCTCTCTCCCTCACCCTAAATTTAGTTCCCCTCCTTCCCCTCTCATTAATTATCATTATCACTCACGCCTTACCTCCCTCCCTCTCTTTTACCTCTCTCTCTCTCTCTCTCTCTCTCTCTCTCTCTCTCTCTCTCTCTCTCTCTCTCTCTCTCTCTCTCTCTCCCGTTTACTGCCCTCTCTCTCTCCCTCATTCTCTACCTCCCTTCCTTCACCCTTCATGGACTGGACGGTCTCGCTTCATGCAGGTCGGCGTTCAATCCCCGATTATCCAAATGGTTCTTGGGCACCATTCCTCTTTCCCCCCGTCCCATCCCAAATCCTTATCCTGACCCCTTCCAAGGGGCTATATATAGCCGAAATGCCTGATCGCTTTGCCCTGAAAGGTCCCTGCCCCATCCCTCCCCCCCACTGACAGGAACATGTTCATCATGCCGCTGGAACACAAAAGACCGAGACACGAGTAGACAGGAGGTCCATGGGGTAAGACGGACAGTATGGACAGCCTGACAGACAGTTGGGTGGACAGGAAGACAGGCGCCCCAGGCAGGGCCACACACACGTAGACAGGTCGGTACTGAGGTTTAGACAGGAAGACAGACGTGCAGTGTGGAAGATATAGAGAGGAAACGCATACAGTCCTACAGGGATGGACAGACACACCTGCCGACATTTAGACGGTTCGCAGCCGTACCTTACCCATACATATAAATGTACAGATACGGAACATCAAAACCGGTTATTGAGAGATATTAAACAGACAGACACTTTAATTTGGCTTTCTGACCAAGAGACGGACATTTAGACAGACAGACAGACAGACATATAATAGACCATTACATATTATAAACATAACAGTTACACAGACAGATAAATCTTTTTTAATATACGACAGAATGGCGTTTTAGAATTCGAACAGACAGGAAAAACAGAATGGTGCCTCTAGACAGACTGACAGAAGGCACACAAGGACTGACAGTCATACAGAGACACTGAGAAGGACTCACCTGCTGAAGTTGTAATCAGGAAGGTCGTCTGACAGGCTGTCAACGTAACCTGTAACAAGACAGTAAAAGACGGTTATAGACAGTACAAGTAACACTATACATATATACTATATATGTATACGTACACTATACATATATGCAACATAACATATACATAACAGTATGCAACATCGATCACAGAAACATTGATCAAAGTATGCGGAAAAAAATCACATTTGAAAAATTTAGAGAATGCTGAACGCGTTTTCGGCTCAATTCGCCTTCATGAGAGCAAGATAGCGAAGAATCTGTCTATCTTTCTTGCTTATTTCTATATCTTGCTCTAATGACAGCGAATTAAGTCAAAAAAGCGTTCAACATTCTCTAAAAAAAAAAAATTTCAAACGTGTTTTTTACCGCATATAAAATTAGCATATTTGATCTTTGTTAATGAAATCATGTTTTCAATCTACAAAATGTTCATCTTAGAAAGGAAGCTGGACACTTGACGGCACTTGACGGCACACACAGCCAGTCAAATGCCAGCTGCTCCAAACACATATCCCTTCATCCCATTCACCCGTTGATGAATCCAACCTTCCGTCCGTCTATCCATCAAATCATCCTCCTATCCCGCTAACCAGCCACTTATCTTCGCCCTCGTAGCGTTCCATCCTAACTCATGGCTCTTCCCACTCTGCTCTATCATCACTCTGCTGTTAGCTGTGACAACACGCCCGGAGCAGACCTGCCACGCACGGTGACGGGGGGGTAGGGGGCTTGGTGGAGGGTGAAGGGGGAACCTGGTGGATGGGGGGTAGAAATAGCCTAAGCTACTCTATCCCTTTGAGATGTATTTATTGCTTATCTCAATAAACATACTTGAACTTGAACCTGGTGGATAGCGAAGAATGAGGAGACCATGAAAAAAGGGGGGCACGGACCACATACTATCCCCCCTCACCCCCCCTGAACATATCGGGCAATAGGGTTACAGATTTTGTGTGGTGGTGTCCCGTGGTCGCCCGCAAACACTCACTCGCTCGAAAGAGAATAAACTAGGCGGAGGAAACGCGCCAAACGAGGCGTATTTTTTGGCCGAGTTTTTCGACCAAACCCAATTTCTCTTCCGTGAAAATTTCGCTCCTCTCACCCCTGCTGCTTTCACTGATTTTCGACTTTTTTTTGTTTTCGTTCTTTCAGACCCCTTTATTTTTATAGCAGATTAGGATATTTTAATATTGTTTGTTTTTTCCTGTGTGTGTGTGTGTGTGTGTGTGTGTGTGTGTGTGTGTGTGTGTGTGTGTGTGTGTGTGTGTGTGTGTGTGTGTGTGTGTTTTGACACACGATGCGTCGAGCGCTGAGGTTATTGGACGCTGCCTATGTTTTTTATTTACCTGTGTTCGTGTGGGGCGCTGGGAGTATTGAACACTGTGTGAGTTTACCTGTGTTTGTGTGTGTGGAGTGCTGTGATAACTAAACAGTGAGTTTACAAGTGCTGGCGATGAGCGCTGGGGGTCGTATTAACCATCATCGTGTATCACTTATAATACTGGGTGTGACCTAGCAGTAAAATAGGTACCTGGGTGTTAGTCAGCTGTCACGGGCTGCTTCCTGGGGGTGGAGGCCTGGTCGAGGACCGGGCCGCGGGGACACTAAAGCCCCGAAATCATCTCAAGATAACCTCAAGATAAGATAACCTCGCGTCAACACGCGAGGTCACCCCCAGAATAAAGTCGTCTCCAGTAAGGTCAGGGGTCTTCCACAACAAAATACCAACAGCGTGAGGTGTCTGTGGTAATATGGTCTGGACCAATGGCTCGTGTGGTCCGCCAGGTGCCCACACAGGGCCTATCACACGAACCGTAGAAGGAGGTCATCTTACGAGCGGTCTGCCTCACAGGTATTTTCACTTTACCGAGACTACGCTGGTCGGGGGTAACACGATCTGGAGCTGTACGATGCAATTGGTAATAAGACGCGTTAGTTCTGGAAAAAAACTTGAGAGCAATGATAGCATTTTGTCCTGGACTAAAGCTTGGGGGGGGGGGACAGAGCTGAACTGCTCGTGTGGAGGGGATTGGCGTTTGTGTCCTGGTTTGTGGGAGATAATTGCGTCCGGTTATTCTCACCACAATGAAAATATTTATAGATTGCGTATATTTTATGTTTGTTGGCCTGTTTATATGTTTTTTAAGTTTCCAGGAATACGAATATATAGTTACTAATATAATTATTATTATTATTAGTAGTAGTACACAGAAATCCCATTATGGTGATATATCAATAAACAAATCCACATATGCCTGGAAACGCATAGGTTCGAGCCCTCATCACGGCTCCTGTGGATTTGTTCATTATTTGTAGTAGTAGTAGCAGTGGTTATTAGTACTATGGAGGCTCGCAATAAGGAAAGATCTCAGAGGTGCCTGACTGATATCCCAACTGAAACTACAGACCATTTCTGAAGCACCACTACAGTACCTGGAAGTGGTGCTGGAGTACTCACCTAGTTGTGCTTGCTGGGGTTGAGCTTTGGCTCTTTGGTCCCGCCTTTGCGAGCGTGGTAGTGATGGTACACCACTAAATTTCAAGACTCGTACTAAACCAACATGTCTCCAGTCAAGTTTTATCAGTCAAAGGCCGAGGTCGCGGAGGTCACAGCGGACTCTGCTAATATTAAGTTACTAATTCCAAACTTTAGATTAACTTGAGGTCTGGATGCCAAGTCCTGACCTGGAGGAAATGTGGCCAAGTTGCTACCGTCGGTCCCTACACGTCCTCCTGGCCTGTCACACACGTCCTGTGGCCACATTATCACAGGTTATCTTTAATTAATGTTATCAGTTGTCTCTGTTATATCTCTGTACACACACACAACTACACACACTGTATATTATATATATATATATATATATATATATATATATATATATATATATATATATATATATATATATATATATATATATATATATATATACTGTATATATAAATAAATGAATATTTGGTATTTATGTGTAAAGCTCAGCTTGCTGGACACAGTGAACACTTTCTGTTATTAAAACAAACAGTAAAAACTGATTTTTTTTAAGTCAAATATATTTGAGGCACGTGTCATAGTTTAAGACTTATGGCACACCCTGTTCATGCATACATGTATACATTCATGCATACGTGTATTCACACATACATGTATGAAAATGATCCTACACAGAATAGAGGGTGACCCACAAAGACTTAGACTTTATGGGTAAGAATCCTAACAGACAACACACACACACACACACACATGTGCCTTGATCCAAGAGCCAATGCTCGATCCTGCAAGTACAAATAAGCACACACACACACACACACACACACACACACACACACACACACACACACACACACACACACACACACACACACACACACACACACGTACGTCACAGACAAGACACTAAAGATAAAGTAAGATGGGAAGATGTGGTGAGGAGGAGGAAGAGGGTGTGGTGAAGGCCTGGTCGACGACCGGGCCTCGGGGTCGCTAAGCCCCGAAATCACCTCAAAATAAGGCCAACACCTCCACACCTACTCTCACCCCTGGTACTGCAAGAGGCAGCTCGGGGTGGCGGGCACGACCACTGCTTTAGTATCCAACTCCTCGTCGCAATATTCACGAAAGGTGAGAAACACAGAATTAGAAACAACTATGAAGCATACACAGGTTTGTCCAGAGGTAAGACTGGTGGAACACTCGCAATATCCAGAGGTAAGACTGGTGGAACACTCGCAATATCCAGAGGTAAGACTGGTGGAACACTCGCAATATCCAGAGGTAAGACTGGTGGAACACTCGCAATATCCAGAGGTAAGACTGGTGGAACACTCGCAATATCCAGAGGTAAGACTGGTGGAACACTCGCAATATCCAGAGGTAAGACTGGTGGAACACTCGCAATATCCAGAGGTAAGACTGGTGGAACACTCGCAATATCCAGAGGTAAGACTGGTGGAACACTCGCAATATCCAGAGGTAAGACTGGTGGAACACTCGCAATATCCAGAGGTAAGACTGGTGGAACACTCGCAATATCCAGAGGTAACACTGGTGGAACACTCGCCATATCCAGAGGTAAGACTGGTGGAACACCCGCAACATCCAGAAGTAAGACTGGTGGAACACCCACAACATCCAGAAGTAAGACTGGTGGAACACCCACAACATCCAGAAGTAAGACTGGTGGAACACCCACAATATCCAGAAGTAAGACTGGTGGAACACCCGCAACATCCAGAAGTAAGACTGGTGGAACACCCGCAACATAGTGTATGGAGTCTCACAGGTAAGACTCCATACACAATGACATACTCCAAGACAATGACAAGATTGTAAGAGGTTTATGACAAGATGCCGGAAATCGAGCGTGAAGGAGAGGACGTCGAGCAGACAGCATCTTAATACATAACTATAAAACTAAGACAAAACCACAGACATTTAGTAATGTACGTGGTGGTGGCGGCTGACTCCTTACACAGTTCCAGACGTAGATAGCAGTGACCAAAAGGCTCGACAATCTGTACACCAGTCGAGTGAAGGTATACAGGTGGGGGCCCAAGAGCTGAAACTTAGTCCCCAGGATGCACAATCAGGTAAGGGAAGTTAGATTATAATATTAGGCTTTATGTGAGGATTTTAATCACGCAACTCTGCGGTCAAAACACACCGTGTTTCACATGAGTGCCGCGGCCGGCATAATATGCCCGTTTGATGTCCGTAGAGCGTGAAAATTGCTTATAAAGATAAATAAAATGTTATTCTTGCGTGTATATGTACTCCCCTATGTGTATTGATGTACATGTGCCTGCATCAGCTCTCGGGTTCCGCCTTACAGTCGCCGGTTGGCTATTGAAATGGCTCTCGAACATTTAGTCTAGACTGTCAACATGAAAATATATATTCAGTTAGCCAGAACTACCTTGCCTTTTAGCTAATTTGACTCACTATTACAGTGATGAAGTGATGTTGTATATTCCACGGCTCACCTGGGTGAGGGTGAGGAGGTGGTGGTGGGGTGGGGGGTGGGGGATCTAGGAGGTGGGGGGGGGGGGTGAGGGAGGTGGTGGAAGGGGGGGGGGTGAGGGAGATGGGGGTGAGGGAGGTGGGGAGAGAGAGTGTGGGGGTAGACGGTGCCACAACTCTGCCACACGTGAACAAGTCCAAGAAACAGAGGTGCCCCTGGCGGCCCCTGCTCCACACACAACAGTACTCACAGTAACTGTGTGGTGGAACGCACCAGTGTGTAGTGATACACATCCAAACTCTTCGCTTTTTTGTACTTTTACTTTTATAGAGTCAGATAAAATAAAGCGTGAAAACTAACACAAACATTTCTAAGCCTAAAAATTACATTCCTAAAACATTCATTCCTAAGCCACATGTTCTAGACTAGGCCTACTAGGCCTAAGATCGTGAATTAGGCCTAGCATTGTTGGAGAGGTTAGGGTTAGTTTCTACATTTATCTTGCGGTTAAAAAAAAAGTTTCCCCCATTTGACCAAATTTAATACTACAAAAGTCACCTATTTGGCGGTGTATCACTTTATATATTGGTACTTTCCACCAAACAGTCCCTATAAGTACTATGATTTCATGATGGGGGGGGGGGGGGAAGGCCTGGCTCTTGCAGGAAGTGCCAAACTAACCAGGCTGTAGATCATGACAATCTCCACCTCCTAGATCATGTGGGCCTGCGGGCCGCTCGAAGCAACAGTCTTGTAGATCAGTTATCACCCGACAAGTATATCCTCAGACCCTGCTTTGGGAGCAGAGCAACTCTCGGAACCCGCTGCAGGTATACTCTAGGTATACCATCTACTAAGACCGGAGAAAACGTCCATAATCAATCTGATGTTCCCTAAAGTATCTAGAAATTGCAAATCTAAATCAGATGATTTGTTTTCGACGGACGAAATTATGTTTGGCGTGTTTGCTCAGAGTTGGAGATTTGTTGCTGTTGTTTAAGACTCGCTACCCGGAACAAAAAGTTCCAAGTAGCACGGGCTATGGCGAGCCCGTAGTAGTTAGTTCGAGATGTTTTAAACTTGGTAATGTTCCGAACGTGTTATTACAGGATCCCGTGCCTTGTGCACCCTCTATGTCTCGGGGTCTATCTAACGAGTCATTAGCCAGCAATTATTTATAACAGCGATAGTTGGTTAGAATTATTTCCACAGGAGGAGGCGCCTCGTAACCATGGCGTCTTGGAGTGAATATTGGCCTCAGAGGTGATGGGTATTTGATATTGCTGTCGAACTTGGAGATTAAACTCGATCCTTCACCTGGGAAGTTTCTTGTTCCGACCTTCCGGCCTGTTCTTGTTCTCTTGTTTCTTGTTCTTGTTTCTGGAGGAGTTTCCACCTTCACCATGTTATTATTAATATTATTATTATTATTTATATCGAGTCGGGGTCTTAAGTGACCTTCCGGTTATCTTGAGGTTATCTTGAGATGATTTCGGGGCTTTTTAGTGTCCCCGCGGCCCGGTCCTCGACCAGGCCTCCACCCCCAGGAAGCAGCCCGTGACAGGTACCTATTTTACTGCTAGGTAACAGGGGCATAGGGTGAAAGAAACTCTGCCCAATGTTTCTCGCCGGCGTCTGGGATCGAACCCAGGACCACAGGATCACAAGTCCAGCGTGCTGTCCACTCGGTCGACCTTGAGAATACCTTCTCGCCCTGACACCAAACATCAATCATTTATAGTCGCCAAACGAAGCTCTCTCCTAAATATATGAATGACAATACAGGAATACCAATAAGATAAGTTTTGTATTAGAATAAAATACTTCAAGACCAAAAAACAAACAAAAAGTTGCCTGTCGTTTTCTTCTTTAGGTGAGTATCGGTAATTTGCGAGAGGAGTAAAGTTTGGCACTCTGCGAGATAGCAGGCATCCCTCAGTGCCTGGATGAGGTGGCCCCACAGTGCCTGAAGAGTCACGTGACCGCCTGATGCCCCCCCCCTCCTCCTGGCCCCCAGCTGTGTTTTATGGTGTTTGGTCTTGTTTTTAACACAGTGGCTGGCTATCTTGAGGTTATCTTGAGATGATTTCGGGGCTTTTTAGTGTCTCCGCGGCCCGGTCCTCGACCAGGCCTCCACCCCCAGGAAGCAGCCCGTGACAGCTGACTAACACCCAGGTACCTATTTTACTGCTAGGTAACAGGGGCTTAGGATGAAAGAAACTCTGCCCATTGTTTCTCGCCGGCGCCTGGGATCGAACCCAGGACCACAGGCTGTTGGCAGTCTCTGGCTTGCGTGTTGGTATTTACTATTTGTGCCTAAAAACTGTTAGCTCTTGGTCCCCGCTCTCCTCAATAGTCGGTTATCTAATGGACTAATTCCCTACCTAATTTTTTCTATCATATGTACTACATATATTGCTTGCTCTGCCTCTCTCGCATACTGAGGCACTGGGGAGGAACTACCTGTCTGGCATTGGTCTGTCTGTCTGTTATTTTCTCTCTTCTACACAGAACGTTCACTAGAACACTATACACGGCGCTCCAAATACCATAATTCTCTCTTTCTTTCTCTCTCTCTCTCTCTCTCTCTCTCTCTCTCTCTCTCTCTCTCTCTCTCTCTCTCTCTCTCTCTCTCTCTCTCTCTCTCTCTCTCTCTCTCTCTCTCTCTCTCTCTCTCTCTCTCTTTCTCTCATACACACACAAGCCGAAGAAGTCATTTACGCTAACTTAATACAGCATTTTAAATGTAAATTTGATAAAAACGTCTTTGCATAAATCTAAGAACCTTCGGAAGGCTGAACTAAGAGCCTTGGACTAAGTTCACTCCTGGAAACACATTTAAATGAATGCACGCACGCACGCACGCACATACACAAACACACAAACACACACTCTCTCTTTCTCTTCAGCACCAACACAAAACTCTATTTTTCTTCCTGCAGCGAACTCCGCCCCGCCAAACCTGCAAAACTCCGCCTCTTCCGCTTCCCGCCAAACTTTCCGTACATTGTAGGGCTTTTTGCAAGTTTTTTCCCTCCGTTTTTTGAACTATAAGTTTTCAAGTTATCAGAGCGTGAAATTGAAAGGTGGAGACCTGCTCTTAGGCGCATTTTAAAAGCTATTCTCCAGACTCTTCAGAGCTGCTACTGCCGACTCCAGCAGAGCGTGAACCGTCTCTTATATGCAGCAGATAGGCCAACACCCCCCTGACCCCACCCGCCACCACCTCGCCACACGCCTCCGCTGCTGCTGCTGCTCCTGGTAATGCTGCTGCTGCTGCTGCTGCTGCTGTTGCTACTGCTGTGGTGTTGCTGCTCCTGGTAATGCTGCTGCTGTTGCTGCTGCTGTGGTGTTGCTGCTCCTGATAATGCTGCTGCTGCCGCTGCTGCTGGAGTCCCTATTCTCAGCATTGGTGTTGTGCTCGACGTTGTCGTATGCACTTGTGATGAGTTAAACCTGCCTGCTCCTGCTGGTAGAAGCAGGAGCTCCTGCTCCTCCTCGTCCTCCAAGTCTCCTGTATTATGCTAGCAACTTGCACCATAAAACTAGCGACACATGTCAATGAGAAAACCGGTTTTTCCAAAAACCTAATCATCAAAATGGGCAATTCCATTCGCTACAATCGTGGCATGAACTTGAAAACGATGCCTAATGCAATCCATTTGTAAACATTGGTGTATCTGACATCAAATTGCCACGCTTCTTTTTCCCGAAGTCTATAGCTTTCTCTCACACGGCTCAGGCCTAACACAGCTGTGAACTAACACAGCAAATTATATATATATATATATATATATATATATATATATATATATATATATATATATATATATATATATATATATATATATATGTGTGTGTGTGTGTGCCTCATGCCGTCTGGCCCTCACCTGCATGTCTCATAACTTACTGATAAAGCTTCTTCATGTTGCTCTATATAACTTCTCTAGTTAGAATAATATAGAAAAATACAAACTACAGGGCAACATTGGCTCTACTGTCTTGAAAATTATAGTGAAATTCCTAAATTACTGAAAATGTTTAATATTGATGTGGCATTTAGGAACTTTGACATAGAACATAAATACAGTATAAGGGAATCTCGGGATAATAATACTTATAATATATATATATATATATATATATATATATATATATATATATATATATATATATATATATATATATATATTGTATGTGTGTGAAAACACAAATAAAAACTGCTTACCAGGGCTTCATTGTGATCCCATCTGGCCAACCCATAGGATTGATAGAGTTACCGGGCATTAGCTATTGGGGCTCTCGCTCTGCTGGACATCCAACTGTGGAAAGGCTCCTCTTAATGATGTTAACTTCTCTGTGCCTCGAATGCCATCCCCCAGGTGCTCTTGACAGAGCAGACCATGCTGACTGTATGTACAAATTTGCATAGTGGACTCACCTGTTTGAGTGTGTACTGGGCAATGGACTCACCTGTTTGAGTGTGTACTGGGCAAGAGAAGAACAAGAGAAGTACGAGAGCAGATGTTATTAGGTGCGTCCAGGCCAGCAAGGTAGAGTGTGACTGAGCGCGGCCTCCGCTGCCACACCAGGCCGCCACCATCGTGCGTCGCGGAGAGCGGTCGCGCCGCTGTTCCTCGCTGTCCTGCTCCACTAAACCCGCTGACATTATATTATCTCCTGAATTGCAGTAATCCGCGTAATTAACTAGTTCATTTATTTCATTTCATGCGAAGGGGATTTTTCATCGCTTTCTAAGTGATAGCAATATTCTCTTGAATTTCACTAATTGACTGGAACACGTCCGCCATTTATTATGTGATGGAGCAAATTTTCAAGAATGCCTGTCATCGCCAGCTTGATCCGTCGTATCTGAAACGAAATCATATTTGACTGTAAATATTAAAGTTAGAAAAGATATCATATACACACGGCGAAGAGGATAGAGGTTATAGGAATATAGTCCCTTCTTACCGGACGCTGACCGTTAACGGGTCATATTTATGGGAAAATATTTAAAATTTTGAAATAGCAAATACAAATTTTTTGCTTTAAAGTGAATATTTAAAATTTTGAAATAGCCAATACAATTTTTTTGCTTTAAAGTGAATCACTTGTGTGTATTCTATATGGAGCAGTTACGCTATGATGAAAAATAGTAATCAGTTTTACTGAAGCATTATATTGCCTTCAAAAAGGATAATATTACAGAATTTCAGTATCAAATACCGTGATGATTAATATGTCATTACCAATTTTGAAATCAGGGCTCAGGTCAAAAAATAAATCAAACATATGAACATAGTGAAGGACGTTGACGAAGGGCAGCATTGTAGGTCCTGGGTAAAGCAGTGCCCTGCGGCCCTACCCAGATGATGGGCACTGGGGTCGCTACCCAGATGATGGGCACTGGGGTCGCTACCCAGATGATGGGCACTGGGGTCGCTACCCAGATGATGGGCACTGGGGTCGCTACCCAGATGATGGGCACTGGGGTCGCTACCCAGATGATGGGCACTGGGGTCGCTACCCAGATGATGGGCATTGGGGTCGCTACCCAGATGATGGGCACTGGGGTCGCTACCCAGATGATGGGCACTGGGGGCCCCTACCCAAATGATAGGCACTGGGGGCCCCTACCCAGATGATTGGCACTGGGGGCCCCTACCCAAATGATAGGCACTGGGGGCCCCTACCCAGATGATGGGCACTGGGGGCCCCTACCCAGATGATGGGCACTGGGAGCCCCTACCCAGATGATGGGCACTGGGGGTCCCCACCCGGATGAAGGGAACTAGGGTCCCTTCCCACATGATGGAAACAGGGGACCTTCCCAGATAAAGGCCACTTAAGCCCTTCGCAGATAATGGGCCCCGCCCGTCTGCTAAAGTGCAGGATTACCGTCAGTTATGCACAAATTATTCAAACGACGGACCGAAATGTCGTCGTCTTTTCATCTTCTAGTGTGAGAGGTTGTCAACACAAATTATTCATATCATTAAAATAATTTGAAAAAGGATTTGAATCCTAGCCCGTTCCTGTAGTAAGTAGTCTTGGACGTGTGGAGGGAGGGAGTTGGTGTGAGGGTCAGTTGTACCAACTGTGAGAGCTATTCCATTTATATTATTTCAGCGTAGAAAGAATTACCATATACACCTATTTTTTCTTGTAATGATTTATGTATTTTACATTCCCGTATTAAGTGTAAGGAAGTGTTATTCACTGATAGTTAGAGTGGTATGTGTATTCTTAGACACGTTAGGTTGGCTACAGTGTGTAGCGGCGGCTCCTCCCGCCATTCCTCGGGCAGTAGAGCAAGAATTATTGGAACGAATGGATGTGTCCTCTCCTGAAGGATGGCGTTATTAAATGAACAAATCCTCAAGGGCCGAGATGAGGGTTCGAACCTACGCACGGGATGTTCCCAGCTGCGCCTTAGACAACTGTGCTACGACATGGTTAAATGAATTGTAACCTAGAGTGCATATTGCCCTCACTAGGCTCCCGAAGCTTATCTGAAGCCTCACGCTATTGTGTAGGGTGTTGTTACCTGTGGTAATGATTGTATGCAGTTAGTCTGGGATCCGTGTTGTTGATTATTATTGTTAAGTCAAGGTGATTAAGTTCTGCGTCATCACCTCTTTATTTTTGTCGTATTAGTCTTTGTGTCATTAGATTAAACTACACTGGTGGGCTTTTTAAAGTGTGTTGAACTTCGCCTGAGATTTAGCAGTTGAGTGAACAGGCAAATAAGGGATTTAACGTTGCTACCAAGTCCACGAGCCTTAATAAAAACTAGTGGTAACTATTATTGCCACAATTACTAACTACTACAGCTAGTACTATTACTACTTATACTGCTATTGCTATTACTCCTTCTACTATTACTACAGCTAATATTAGGACAGCTATTACTTTTAATCCAACTATTACTACTAACAGTTGTGTAACTACCGTTATGGCTGTTGCCCAAAACTGTCACTGCTTATAGCCGAACTAATAACATCAATAATAATGACATTACTATGACCAAATGATAAAATGCTTCGCCCATTAGGCAGTAATTAATTATTTCACTTTACGATACAGCAAGTTGTCAGGACAAAAACATTTTTTTTTATCATGTGCTTGTTCACAGTTAAATGAAATCCCTAGTGATGCAGTGGCCTTTACCCAGCCAGGGGCGGGTGATGTGTGTGTGTGTATATACTATTTGTATCTGTAAAGTCCCGCTATTAGCTCTTGGACTCCGCCTCTGTAACCAATCTATTTTCCTATATCTACTACATATATTTCTCTAACACACACACACACACATGTGTAGAGTGCTGGTGGCTCAGTGGACAGGACGCTGGACACGTAATTCTGTGAACCGGATTCGATTCCCGGCGCCGGGGAGAAACAAAATGGGCAATTTCTTTCACCTTGATGCCCCTGTTACCTAGCAGTAAATAGGTACCTGGGAGATAGACAGCTGTTACGGGCTGCTTCCTGGACGTGTGTGTGTGAGGGGGGGGGGAAGTTAGTTAGTTGTTAGTAACAGTTGATTGGCAGTTGAGAGGCTGGCTGAAAGATCAGAGCTCAACCCCCGCAAGCACAATTAGGTGAATATATCCCCAGGAAACAGCCCGTAGCAGCTGTCTTAAGTCACAGGTAGCTGTTTACTGCTAGGTGAAAAGGTACAGCAGGGTGAAAGAAACTGCCCATTTGTTTCCGCCTCCGCCGGGAACATTCACATTATTCCGCCTCCGCCTGAAACATTATTAACTGCTTTGACATTTACAGGTAATGTCGACATTTATGAGTGCAAGAGCAAAATCCGAACAAATTATAACAAGAGAAATGAGAAAAATACTAACATTTATAACAGGAGCAAATGATAAACATCTACATGTCCAACGGGAGCGTAAATGTGGTACACATCTGTCAGTGTTTACTGTCACCTGTCCATGCTGCTGCGGCCTCCAGGGGGCGTTGTGCAGGTTCCCACGGGTGGGGAGGCGCTCCTGGAGGGAGTAGGCTACTGTTGTTGTTGTTAAAGATTCGCTACATGGAACAAAGTTCCAAGTAGCCTACACCACGGGCTATGGTGAGCCCGTGGTGTAGGCTACTGTCGAGTGATGTGAGAGAGGTGTATACCTAGCGCCTGCCTTTCCTTTCCTGTGTGAGTGTTAGTGGTCAGATGGAGGGGTGTGGTGAGGTCGAGGGAGTGTGGTGGTGAAATGGAGGGGGATAGTAACATGTTGGGGGTGGATAGATGGAAGGGGGGCTTGGTAAGAAGTGGGGATGGAGGGTAGTAAGTTGGCCTGTGCGGTCGACCAGCAGGCAATGAAGCTAATTGCTCAAGTCGCCGAGGACCTAGTTCCTGCAGATCTAATTAAAGATTTTGTTTATACATTCTCTTAAGTATTTTACATGCATTTATTTTATTATTATATTGTCCCATGGCGACTCAAGTGTCCAAATTATTTTTTAAATTGTTTAAAGTTAGTAAAAATTAACATCTACAATTCAATTACGACTCATCAATCAGAAGGAATGAACGTCGTCTAATTGATCTATCTGGGTTAATGCGATAGCCTAATTGACTAACGTTCGCTTCATTAGCCTCACATATTGGATGGGGAACTCTTCTCGATACACAGCTAATTAGATAAGTGTAGCAGAAGGCTGTCAGAACACCCTGTGAGGAGATAACGAGTCCTGCTAGTACATAAAACTACTTCAGAGTATGTAATGTAAGTCCGTTGCTCAATTACATACTCTCGAGTAAAAGTGACACACAAAAGTGATTCTGGAATGTATACTGCTAGGATTTGTGGGTTATTGACATATCTGGAAAACAAACAGGAGCCACCACTGCTGTTACCTTATAGTACTAAAATCAATAACGGGAATCAACGGCTCCTATAATCCCCAGAAGTAAATAATTATGAACATTATGATTTGGATCGATGGAGCAATAAAAACGATAACAAAAATAAATATACAGAGTAGAGGCAACTCCTAGTCACTAAGTGATTAGTGACTAGGAGTAATATTACTCACTACTTAGCCACTAAGTAATTTTGAACCACCAAAATAAATATTAAAGCCTCTCTCAGCTTAAATATATATATATATATATATATATATATATATATATATATATATATATATATATAGGAGAAGAAAATATCAAAGTGTTCAGTGAGGATCCACAAGGTCTTCTCTGAGTACTCTTTATTTTCTTCTCCGAGGCTATGGGTCCCTACATTTGCACCAGAGGTGGTACCCCTTCTAGGTTTAAAAATATATATATATATATATATATATATATATATATATATATATATATATATATATATATATATGTCGTACCTAGTAGCCAGAACTCACTTCTCAGCCTACTATTCAAGGCCCGATTTGCCTAATAAGCCAAGTTTTCCTGAATTAATATATTTACTATAATTTTTTTCGCATGAAATGATAAAGCTACCCTTTTCACTATGTATGAGGTCAATTTTTTTTTATTGGAGTTAAAATTAACGTAGATATATGACCGAACCTAACCAACCCTACCTAACCTAACCTAACCTATATATATAGGTAAGGTTAGGTTAGGTAGCCAGAAAAAGCTAGGTTAGGTTAGGTTAGGTAGGTTAGGTAGACGAAAAAACATTAATTCATGAAAACTTGGCTTATTAGGCAAATCGGGCCTTGCATAGTAGGCTGAGAAGTGAGTTCTGGCTACTAGGTACGACATATATATATATATATATATATATATATATATATATATATATATATATATATATATATATATCCGTTATAGCCTGTGTCAGTTTATAAAACCAACGCATGTACTATCACTGCCGCCGCTCTCTCAGCTT